GAATCATTTGGAGAGGACCTAGTAGTCGTAACAAAATTCAGAAGGCATGTGATATACAAAGCTATTTTTATCGATGGCTACATTGTCGACAAGAAGGCATTCACTCCTAAATTATAGTTGATAAACTGAAGACATATTCAAGGCACTTGTTTGACAATCGAGTATATTCAATCCCCATAAGAACTAGTATAGATTGGTCAGTAATTTCGATTTTGGGAGACGAAAACGTCACAAAGGTCTGTTATCTCCGGCCCTTGGTTAGAAATTTCGCTAAACGTAATTTTTGAATAGAAGCAAAATCTGCTCTTATTTGAAAATATGTGAAATGGTGATCTTTTGAGGGTGTTAATTTCGTTGTGTTTCTTCTATTTTAGAGGATATATAAAAATCTCCATGAGAATTTTTCAATAATTACAAAGGTTTTCTTTCAGAGAACAACTTAGCCTTGATTATGTGTCAGATATAATGACGATACGATAAGCACGATGCTCTCAGCAGGTTCCTCTCTCGCTATAGAAAAGTGAAGCTTTTCCGAATTTAGAAAATGTTTCTTTCTTCTTTTCTGGTTTGATCAGGCTCCCCTTATATTCTAAAGATTTGTACCTATTTTGTTGGTTTATTTTTGCAGAAAGTGCCAAATCATTGCCTAACTTCGCGAAAGTTAGATCATGAGGCAACCTCGAAAGTTTCATCAGAAGAATTAAACACTAATGCAATCATGCAATGTCATTGTGACGGCGTTAGAGAGGAAATGGTTGCAAAATTTCGGGACACCTGCTCATAAACAAACTAGATATGGCTAATTTTTCTTCATCTCTTTTTGATTTAGTTTGAATTGAATTCCAGGCCCCCTTTTTCAAAGGTCTGTACTTATCAATTTTTGTCCAACAATTCAAACGAACGAACTGAATGGACTAAACGACAATAGCGTTTAATCTCAGGGGATTTTCAACCTCGTGAGTGCTCTATTATTATCTACAAGGAAAAATTGTCAGAATACGAGGCACTATACGCTATGACGGGGCTTTTTCATCATGAGGCAAAACTTAAAGAAATAAAACAGGAAACGTTCCAGATGATCTGAAACAGAGACACTTTACCTTATAATTACTTCACTCTTCACCTCAACGTTCCTTACCTGAAGTAAGACTTTAGAGTCAACGGAGGATTGTTTTTAGAATCGACAGGTGCTATTTTTAATTACCACTGTAAGCCTAGTGTATGGCCGATTTAAAAATATCTCATTAGGTGAATCATGCGATGCCTTTTTTTCTTTCTGTTAAATTTTCGGAAGTAACTCCAAGTCACCATTAGCAAATTTATTTTAAAGTATTTAGATTTCAACTTTCACCTTTATTTTCAGCCAATTTAAAGTTGTGGACTTTAAGCGAAGTTCTAGAGTTTGTTTTGTATTCTTCATCTATCCAGCTGCGACACGATATTTTTCAGACATATGAATAAAGGGTAAGTTTCTAAAGAAACTGTGGTGCTGCGTCGGTGGGAGAGTATAGCAGGTAATTTAGTGTTGACAACTGGGTTGAAAACGTAAATTAGCCACCGTAAAGGGTAAAAAAGCTGACGTTTCGAGCGTTAGCCCTTCGTCAGAGCGATGTTTGATGCTACTCTGGTTTGCAGATTTAATGAATGTAACCGAAGAAGTTACAATTCATAGACCCAAGGTTTCGACACTCGTGTCTAGTGCCTTCATCAGGGGTGATCTAAACGCTGCAACAAGAGGTCCTTTTTTATGATCACTAATTAGCGGCCTTTTTTCTGACGAGGTGTAAATAGGCGTCAGGAAGCAAACCGCCATCGTCACGATTTAAAGGAGCGTGGGCGGAGTTAATATGCCAAGCCTCCAAACAAAGGCGCTGGTGGTAACGCCGATTAGTGGTGATAATTTTAGAATTATCCCACCCAATTGTATGGTTAGTTAGGCATGTATGCTCCGATAAGGCTGAATTTTCCTTTTTGCAAAGGAAACCACTTTTTGGTGCTCTTTTAACCGTGTACCAAACTGACGTTTGGTCTGTGCGATGTATTCATTGTCACCGTCATTGCAAGGAATAGAATAAATGGCGTCGGTTCGTTGTTCTTTCGTGACAGGATTCTTAGGTTTGGCGAGAATATGCCCCAAAGTCTGAAAAGGTTTTTGAGCAACTTTAACGTTGTGGTTATTCAAAATTCTCTCTTCCGTAACACCCTGTATGTAACGAATAACAGCAAAACTAGTCGCTGGTTCCTTTTCATCAAGAGCGTTACTATTTGTAACTGGTTTTTGGCAGTTACGGAGAAAAGTTTTTGTATAGCCATTTGCCTTTAGGACATTGGAAACATATTTCCTCTCCTCAGCCTTCGAATCGAGTGAAGATGGTAGACAGTCAGCCTTCCTAAGTAAAGTTTTGGCTACAGACTTTTTATGGCAAATAGGGTGGTGAGAATCGAAGGCGAGGTATTTGTCGGTGTGGGTAGGTTTACGATAGACACTAGTCTCTAAATTACCCTGGACCCCTCTGGACACATTTAAATCAAGAAAGGGCAAATGTCTATCCTTTTCACGCTCAAGGGTGAATTGGATCGACGGCTCTACTGAATTCAAATGCGACAAGAGGCGCTCCGCTTCATTTCCGGATACCGCAGAAATAACATCATCGACATATCATTTCCAGAAAAAGGGTTTAACCGGTCAAGAGGCTAAGGCCCGTTGTTCCACGTCTTCCATTACCATGTTAGCAATGACAGCAGAGACTGGCGAACCCAATTTTTTTCCGATGCGAAATGCCTTAGACCGCTCTTACAGAGATTGCCACTTGACATTCATGAGTAGTATAAGTATAGTATAATCTTTATTTAAGCACGAAACAATTCATCAGCAATTACATTAACTAAAACTATTTAAAAATTAAAACACTAACTAATAACTGAAAGCTGTTTTCCGTGAATGCCGTGCGTTATAGAGTGGCATTGATCTTGCGTTTAAATAACCCCAGAGACTCTGTGTTCCTTATATCACATGGAAGACTATTCCATAATGTGGCTCCACTATAGCTAAAGCTTTTTCGATAATAGTTAGTGCGAGGTAGAGGAACATTGAGTTTATTTTCAGAGTCCCTGAGGTCATAAGCAGAGTTACGCCATCTAAACTTAGAATTAAGATATTCAGGAGCTAGCCCGTGCACGAAGTTTCATGTAACATAGAATGTGTATCTTTGAGCTTTCAAACTTTTAACTTTGTATAAATCGTAACTGCTTACCGTATCTATTTCTCTGTACCTTAAGTCCTCAAAAGTTGAAGCAGGTGAGTCAATAACCTGACTTCCTTTGTTTGGAATTGTGTGATTATATAATTTTGCAGTGTAAGTAACCTTAGTGTAACATGTAATAATATTTTTGAGATTGCATTGAATACTCTTGCTCAAATTGCACGGAACCTGTGCTAGGATTCATTAGCAGAAGCTCCTTGTTTAAATCAAATACCTGTCATTATGATTTGCTATAACAATATCAGTATTTACTCGTGTCCCTTTTCCAACAAACCAAGACTATCACTTAAGGATCTCAATGGGGTGATGGCTTTTTAAAGCTTTTTTAAACGCTAATGAACTGCGATACCGGTGCAGCGCTTTATTTTCACTACTGCTCAAGTAGCGACATTACTGCGAGGATCACTTTCATTCACGTCTTTATCCGCAGTTCAGAGATACGACTTTCATATATTCTTCACCGTTTATTCGTCACTTCACGGGTTTACTTAGAACCAACATAATAATCAGCTCCCAGTTGGCTTGTTAGCTCAGTTTGTGGAGCGCTGCAATGGTATCGCAGAGGTCATGGGTTCGAGTCCCGTACAGGCTTGAATTTTCTTTGTTTTTTTCCGGCCTTATTTTCATTACTGCTCGAGTAATGTACATTACTGCGACGATCACTTTCATTCACAAAGCTTTTTTAAGTCGTTAAAGCGATTCTAGGTTTGAATTTGCCGATTTTTTCTCCTAACAGCTACATTTTCTTACCGTTTTATGGCGAATGGTTAACCTCTATTTGAGACCCTCCTAGTATGCAAACCTACAGGCTGAAGTAATGACTGTAAATATATCAAAATCATATATTTGAACTGCGGACAGAAACGTGAATATGAAAGCGATCTTGGGATTTGAACTCATGACCTCTGCGATACGGATGCAGTGCTCTTCCAACTGAGCTAAGAATGTGTGATTTTCATATATTCACAGTCATTTCTTCATCACCTTACAAATCGGCATTGCACCGGTACCGGTCTTAAATTTTTTCAGGCGTTATTTTCACTATTGCTCGAGTAGTGTTTATTACCGCGAGGATCGCTTTCACATTCACGTCTTTATCCGCAGTTCACATAGATCATTTCTCCAATATTCACAGTCATTTATTCATCACTTCACGGGTTTATTTGGAACTAATATAGTGATCAGCTCCCAGTTGGCTTGTTATCGCAGAGGTCATGAATTCAAATCCCGTAAAGGCCTGAATTTTTTTCAGGCCTTATTTCACTGCTGCTTAAGTAGTGTTCATTACTACGAAGGTCGCTTTCATATTCTGAAGCAAATTTGAGATCAACGAATGTTGTAGAATTTAGCAAAGTCACGATCAGTTTTTGGTGCTGCTGTCTGGCTTTTCACTTCTAAGCATCAGTCTACGATATGAAAATTGTCTTTCTGAGCCATTTGCTCCCGAAAGCTGTATCAAAACACGTGTTTTACGCTAGAGAGCCTTGACACTATCGGTTCAAATGCCCCACCCTCCAAACCAAGGCAAAATTCCCCACTTCCCGGGCACGGACGACGGTAAAATGCCCGTGGGTTGCTCGAGGGGGGGGAAGGGGGGAAAAGAAAGGATTGGGGGAGGGGATGTTAAAGCTTCCACTTGATCGGTGCATTAACATTAACATTGTGAAATCGGGCTGCCTGTAGATGAACCAGTCACGCATTTCACAGGTTTAGGTAGGAAACTGACCAAGTAAACAGCTTTTATTTCACCTTCCACACAGTCATTGAACTTAAATGACTCCGCGGCAATCTATCTAAGAAAAATTCTTAGGACATCAGTCATCTTAATTCTGGTCTCCTTCAACAGAAAAAAGATTTAAAAAAACAAAAGCATAATAGGTGAAAAACGAAGAGTCCTCGACGGGTCATGTACAAATTAAAGACTCTGAAATTCTTTTGCGGTCGTCCACTTTTATACGCTTTGTTTCCTGCCATCAGAACGCCAATTGTTGATAACACAGCAACGACACAGTCGTAACTTGAATTATATTTCACGAGAAAAATTCTATAATGTTGACTTCAACTAATTCTCTGCTATAACACCGGCATGGAGGTTACTTTCTGTTCTGAAACCGCAAAACTCCTTTCACTGCAAGCGAGAAGGACATTATGGTAATGTAAAAGATACTTAATTAAAATCAAGGACAAAACCATTCATTAAACATTAAAAAAAAAAGCATTTAACAACAATTTAAAAGCTCGTAAGATCGACACTGGATGATAATTAACGACTTCCCCTTGCATAGGTTTTTCGTTAGTTCAGTTTATAAGCCATAGAATAAACAACTTATTAACCTCGACCGTTCGGTCGTTACGAATAAATCTCAAACCTCGACCTAGTCGTATTGACCGAGCGGTGCCTCAGTTTGAGATTTTCCTGTAACGACCTCACTCTCGATTATTAAGTAGTTAGTAATCACATTATTTTCTCGCGCAATTTGGGATATATAAGCGCATGTAAATTTTTCAGAGATTACAAATTTGTTTAGTCTTCGAAAAAGTTACACGGAGAATTTGGCGGGCTAAAATGTAACCAGCTGACAAAAACCAGTGGAAAGTGAGAAGCACACAATCGTAGGATGAAAGCGGCCAAATGAAATCGACAACCAATTACTATGTTCGCGCCATTTTCTTGTAACGTTGGTAAAAAAAATCAAAGCAAATTTGTGACATTACAAAACATAAAACGAACACAGCTTGACATCTTACATAGAGGACAGCTAAGCCGTACCAAAACGTGCTTGTTGGAAATTCTTAGTCGGCCAATTACGCCCACAAACTCTATCGTTTTATTTAATTCGATAACAGAGACCAGAAACGCGTCTTCCATCTGGAAATGGCGAAAGTCAGTGATGCCATGTTGAAAAATTTCCCTGATTTTTCCTCGAAGAAATTCCCCACCCCCGCATACTTTCCTAACCTGTGTTAACTAAAATAATTGAAATATTTGCAATGGAACCTACCTTATGTGAAGAGTTGGTGCCACCCACTTTAACGAGGAAGGTTTGGCTGGATGAGTGAATGAACAGTTTGGCCTGGTGCAGTTGGCGCCAAAACGACAAGCCTACAAGACAGTCAACAATGAAATCTTACTGAAATCAAATTTGTGATCACTGTACAGATACCTTCCCAAGCATTAGAAACCAATTAGTAACTAAACTTACAACATTTATATTATACAGCGCAGCGCATGTAATCAAACCAGACCATGCACAGGCTGGGAGAAACGAAATCCTTCACTCACATAAACGATATAGCTTTAAATTTACATCTAGCACTTTTTCACTCTGCTGCCGTCTTCAATAAATTCTCTCTATATATAAGTTGAAAACGCCACGCTAACGAAATCCAGCATGTACGTGTAGTTTGTCTACATGTACTCCTATAACCTCTAACCAAGCCAAAGAGCTTAGTGTTCTCCCTTACTAAAGCCCAACAAGTAAAAGAAATTTTCAGACTAGTAGAGCATTTCTTTTACCTGTTGAATTTTCAAGAATATCATGCGATTTTTAGCCCCCAATGTAGGCGTCTTCTTATGACGAGTTAACGTTAAAGAAGCACGCGATCGTTTATTCAAGCGGCCATGTTGGATGATTTGGAGTTAGAGTCGACGGTGAGAAAGGGGGCGGGGCAAGACGACTACTCTCTCTCCCACCCCCATCCCTTTCCTTATTTTCTACTGTCGCTCACCCCCTTGGTACAAATTTCTTTCTCTCCTCTGCCTTGGTATTAAAATCGAAGATTGCGATCATAGTTTTCGCTAAGAAAAAACTGAGCAAGCGCTAAGCGATTTTAGGCGGTAATACGAGGTAATACAGGCGGTTTATTTTCACATTTACCGCCTTAAAAGGAAAACACACTAAATTACCAACAAAAATAGTCCGAGCTTGACCAAGACAGAATTCCTCATTATAATATCACTACAATATCAAGCAGACAAGTGATGAGAATGAAAACAAAATTTCAATTCAGGGATTACTGGTTGATCCAATACCAGAATCTGAGAACTAACATCTTGAGAATTGTGCGGGAGACAGTAAGGAGAATTACCACTAGGATCTTGAGAGGGAAAGGATTCAAGAAGTGAGTAACCAACAAATATGCTTTTATTACAATGGAAATTATTTCTTTGGAATCAGAGTGCAAGGTTAAATGTTCAAGTAAGCGTCATAAAATATACCTTTGGTTGTGGATGATAGAAAGTACAGTCAGCTTTGGTACAAGACGGGTAAAACTTGCAAGGAACCGGTTGAGTAACAGGAGGTGGAGGAGTGAGGACACTTGGTGGAGGGAACATGAAGCCTGACAACATTAAGAGACACAACAGTGTTAGACCACCACGAAAATGATCTGTGGTGAAACAAATCATACGTGAATATTTTAATTGTTTTGAAGCCCTTCACTAAGTTGACGATATAAGAGAGTGCAGCTCTCGAGCGTGCCTTCGTGTTTCGATCTGATGAAGGGCTTACGCTAAAAACGTCACTATCAGAAACTCTTTACGGCGGCCAATTAACATTACCAATTCAGTCGATAAAACCAAATAATCTTTTCGCCAATAGTCTTACTACAGTTTTCCACCAAAAGTTTTTAATGAAGCAAATAGTACTGATGTAACTGGACACCATACCTAAACCCATTCCTGGTATTGCAGCTGCTACGGGAGAAGTCTGTTGTTTGTTTTTTAACTTGTGTGTGTAGGAACAAACTGAATTAGTACACCTACAAAAGAAAAAACGAGAACCATGTAAATAGAAATATTTGGTAGATTGTAGTTGTTTCTACAGCTGAAGCTTAAAACTATAAAATATAAAAACTATAAAAAATTTTCGGTTCCCTTTTAAGTGATGTACTTACCTGTACTTATCAGCCATAGTCACAATTCTCACAGGCTATCCAAAGGCATGATTCAAATCACAAAGACATTTGAATGTTTTGCGCGTATAATGATTCAAGAAGGAAACCTACGTGTACATTTCAACATAAAACACAAGTACACCCTGAGAAACTGTCACATGTTCACACACACACACACACACACAAAATCAAACTCCAATTCATCTAAACTATTTGAAAACAAATTTTCTGAGCAGAGCATGCATTCTGGTAAAAAAAATGCCTTCCTCTATTATCTATCGATTTATGCTGCAATTGGTCTGTTAAATAAGCCGGTATCCCTCCAACTCAGCAACAGTCACTGAAGTGCATCCCGTCTGCCAAAATAAGCTTTCGACAACATTTACAATAGTACAGCCATATTCTCACCACAACTTTCTCAAGCAGACATCCCTAATAACCTTAGCATTGTGGGTGAGCAAATGTTTTGTCTTCTATGCTGTAAGCAAACCATTTACAAATAGTCAAACTGATATCTGAGACAGCTAAATCCGTTTGTCTTGTAACGATGACTTTCCTCTTTCTAATTTGTCCGTTTTCAATGAATGAGTGAGTTATGCTTTTCTTTCTAAAATATGTTCAAAAGAGGTCATGTTACACACCCATTTTCCCAATAAAAGCCACCTCTCTTCCACAGCCATTTTCCTTTGACAGAAAGTGGTTTCTGAGGAGAGGTTCAGTTGTACATTTGAGCACACACAATGTGGAAAGTGCATTACATTAGCTCCTACCTTCCATCAAATTTACACGGTGGGTGAATGAATCTACAACTATCTCCAAATCTACAGTTCGGGAAAGACCTGACAAAAAAAAAAAATATATATATATATATATATGCATGCTCACTAGTTTATCTAAAAAAAAACCACACGTTTATATATATACAAAACTGATGAGGCCCATTTGTTTTAGTTATATATATATATATACATACAAAACCCATTTGTTTTGATCCCATTTCCTTTTACAGTTGACCCAAAAAAATGTAAGAAATTGTCTGGTTGTCATAAAGAGAGAGAGAAGAGATGTATGTTCCTGAAACTGTGAGTGTGTGCGTTTGTAAATGCATCCAACATCAAATCCTTGGATCACTATGAGTATTTAGCATCTAATTGATATTATTCCTGACAACATCACCCCTGAATCACGCCTTAAAGTCACGAGAAGAGGGGAAATGATTACCAACTGAAGAAGATTGTCATCAATTGTTAAACAAATTCTCCTAGTCAGCACCTTAGGAAAATGTACAGAACAGTATGGAAAATATGCAATTCAATTCTTTCACTACATGAAAAGTAAATTTCTCCTGAAAGACAGTTCTTTATCATATGAACACCAATGAAATGCCAAGTGAGCTTTCGCCCGAAAACATGATATCTTCACAGTGAAAAGATCACTGATGTTAATTACATTATTAAAATAGCGCCTTACGATGCAGCCCTTAGTAAGATATTAAAGTGAAATGATTTAGTATTTCATTTGTGTTTATATAATAAATAGAATATTACATGGCCGCTTGGAGATATGAAATTTCTCTTTTTCCGTTGAAAAATATTTTTCAACACTCGAAGAGAAATTTCGTATCTTAACGCGACCAAGTAATATCCTCCATGTAACTTGTAATGTTTACGGTACGTTATTCGTTGGCTTAAAAAACAGTCTATCAGAATTAAATGATGACTATGACGACACCATTAACTCCATTCTCTTCATATTAAAGCCATATGCCCAATACATACAGTACCGCTCGAAAGTAAGTTGACAGTCCCTCGAAATTCGATCCTCGATTCTCGAAAACTTTAAGGATCGAGACGCGAGTCGAGTTTCCAGATGTTCAAGATATGAGTTTCGAGACGTTCAAGATGCGAGTTTCGTGACGAGTCACGAGCACCTCGAAACGAGGAAACGAAGGAATTTTCGCGTGATTAATTTTTCACATGTGTACATATGCGTTTCCTTCACCCCCAGTGAAAAATAGTCAAGGTTGCAAACAAGAATCTTTAGCCCCTAAGAGTGACTAGCACCGAATTTCTCCTTACAAAACACCAGTAACACCCCTGAATCAAGTATCAAGCATGTTTTCAGGAATTTCTTGCTCAACTCTTGTGACACCTTTGAGTAAATACACTGAAATACTTGAAGAAGGAAAAAAATGAAATCACCTGCACATCACCGTCGGGTGGTAGAAGGGACAATCATCTCCATTTTTGCAGTCAGGCCAAAATTTGCACTTTTCTGCTTGTTTGTTTTGATCTTGCATCGACTCGCCAATTTCAGCTTCTGAAAAAATTAACACCCGAAAGCAGAAGTTTTTACCAGAAGCACATAACTGATAATGTACACTCACGATTCTTTGATCAATCAATTAATTCCTTTGACTAATCTACCATGTATTGATTCTGTTGACCACTGAATCTTTAATGGAATTGATCAGATAGTTATATGCAAAACTTTATCATGCTATACATAAACAATAGCCCCCATTTGGCACAAAAATATGCAGGGATATTTGTCGGCAGATACTATTTGTTCTGAGATGCGAACCGTTTTCCGTGGGGAAAGCTCCCGAAAACTGCGAGCTTTGAAGGACAGATAATATCCCTGGGAATTGTTTGTTAAATCACATAATCATTCTTGGAAAATATACCATTTATTCATGTCGTTGTAAAAATATCAAGCCGTCTGTATCCTTACTGAAGGCTAAAACATCTGAAACTCGGAAATTTGAATTTTTGATTGCAAAAAAGAATAAAAAAGAATCTATTCATTATAAAAAATGGGAAAACATGTTATTGTAACTCAATAGATGAGTATCGGGTATTAACAGTTATAGACGCAGTTGTATATACTGTCGTTCTACCAAAAAAGGAATTTGATGTAGAAGTATTTGTACAAATTAGGTTTATATTATTATATAACCACAACATAAATTAAATCTAGCCGACTGTGAATGTAATGTAACGCAGTATTTCGTAATTAGTGTTAGTGAGTAGCGTAAGCGTTAGTGTAATTAACTTTGTATTTGTTTGTATTATTCTAGTATTTGTGCTTTAAGTGAAAATAAAAAAAATAAATAAAAATTAAAAAAAAAATAAAAAAAAAAAATTAAAGGACAGATTATGTCCAAGGACAAATATATACATGTGCGAGCAAATTATTACACTAAATTTCGTATCCTTAACGTATTTTTGAAACGCGGGGGGGGGAAATTTTTATGAATAGCTTATGGTTTGCTGCATGGAATGTATACTTCTCTGTGTTCTCTGGTATGACTTTATGAACAAACAAACATGTCTCTTCTTCTGTCACAACTGCTAAACTCTTATCCATCTTGATTTACATTTGAAACAATTTCTTTTATTCTACCAGACGTAAGGTTTGAAAATTGGGTACTATCTCTTGTGATATCCCCTCGGATATTCTCCCGTTTTTCCTGGGGGGGGGGGGCATATTCGATCACGTGATGAGTTTAGACCATTGGCGTGCGAGCAAATATACTCATGGATTATGATTTAATTTATCATATGACCGGTAGGGCCCCAGGCGCGCAATCCCACAGAAAACCATAGTAAAGCCTGACGCGTGTAGAGTTGGACAAGATGGCAGGGGCCGGTCCAGAAAAAGCCCTGAGTTAATTGTTCTGACTTGAAAAACAAAGGAAAATTTTTAAATGTGGAATCCTTTCTTGTGGTTATCCCGCATGCTCCTGTCTATCGCGTCCTAATTTTGTTGAAATAACAATTTTCGAAATTTTCAACACTTTCTGGTCATATGGTAAAATGCTGCGCTCAGTCCGTACGTCATGACCTCAAGCCAAATATTTTCCGTCCAACCCTATCACCCAGTCAATAAGTACATAATATTCTATTCTGTATTCTATTATATATATATATATATATATATATAGTATCTTTTACCAGTAATATCAGATTATATTACATTATCTCACTATAGGAAAATTACCCTCATCAACAGGATCCAGATCAAATGTGATCTGCTGGATGACAGGTTTTTCAAGGGAAGCCACTTCTAGAGGTGGTTTTATTTCTTCTGTCTTCTCTGTTGTGTCAATCTCCTCAAAATCATCCAGCTCAGCTCTCTTCTTTGGTTTCCTCTTCTTCTTTTCTTTCTTCAGTTGTACATCATATTTGTCTTCCATATCACTGTCCACTCCGTCAAGTGTTACAATGAATTTAGGACTTGCTGGTTTCTCCCTAAAATCGGGAAAAATTTAAGAGTAAAATTTCTTCTTACAGTACTGTTAATTACAGTAAGGACCTCACACTGTCTGTATAGGAAAATTTGGGTATCACTCTATGTTTTTACCCTTCCTTGTAGAACTAGACTTCATTTCAAGTATAATTTTGGAATTAAGAATTCAGATCCAAATACAAACACGACTGATTTACAACTTATAATTGCTCTATACACTCCCCAGAAAATACAAAACTTGGTAATTTCACTCAGTTGTTATGCATAAAATGGCTAGGAAATGAACAAAGTTTCAAAGTGCAAGTACTTGTTGGCCTCATTAAAGCTTTAATTTGTTTCTTCAAGCTCTCCTTGCCAGTGCCACCCTGAATAACCTAGAAAAGGCCCTAAAGTTTTAACCATCAAAGATTCAAGAAAATGAGAATTACCAACCTGATTATTATAAAGACATACATGTACAATATACAAATGTAAGTAAAGATGTTTGCAAGAAATAAAGTGAAACTGAGTACCCTTGAAAAAATTTGAACTGCAGATCTTCTGATTTTGTGGTTTGATGCTATAAACACAATTTTCTTCATTCCACAACCTTGGCTCAAAATATACCATCTGCATGTAAAACAGTCACTGTGACAGGCTTTTTTAATTACGATTCTGTTCACCTACATAACACATACTTTTTAGATTTAACAGCCCTTCGCTTTTTCTTCCTTTTCCTCTTCTCTTCGTCTGAATCTTCTGCACCAGCCTGGCTATCCGCAAAGGCTACAATTCTGGTATCACCCACAGTTGGCTCAGGAGAATACTCTAGTGTTTCAGTTTCCGAGACATGGAGCTCGATGACAGGTTCCTTGCAGAGAGGGAAAAATGTATTTGTTATTTCACATTGATATCTTTTTATCAAATAAGGTAAAAGAGAAAAACACTGCAGTATTACAGAAAATGCTTTGAACCATGTGATTGTGTAGTGTAATATTCAAGTGGGGTTAGATATGACTGGTCTGTTTCCAACAGACAGTAATGTTAGGTCTGTTTGTTTTTTTTTTGTTTTTTGTGTGTGTACATTTTGTGAATAAAAGCTTTGTGTGGTATCCGTAGTTGCTGACATCTGTTGAAGGGAGTCTGTTCACCTCCAGAGTCAGTCATTTAGGGATTTCAAAACAAGCTGGTAACTGCTAGAGTTACACCAGCAGCTTGATAACAGGTTGCTGGTTACTCTGGTCAAAATAATTACCTTTTGGCCCTTAATAAGCTTTTGACAGTCACCTACATGTACTTTTGCAGAGTCTGATGCCTACTTCAAAACACTTATAAAACCCTGGTTATTAAAAGAATTTAGTGCTGTTGGTTAAGTACTGTGCGGAGTCCCAGTATCACAAACATGTTCAGCTAGTAAAAGACAGGTGGAGCAAATATGGTAGAGCTGACAAGCAAAAGCCTGGATACAAAGTTTCTTAAAAATGATAACAAGATGTTCAACTTCATCACCTGCATCAATTGGAAAGGAAAACACTGCAAGTGTTCAGAGAAAGTAAAGTGATCAACAACAAATGACAGTAAATAAGTATGAAAATCATATGTGTGAACTGCAGATAAAGAAATGAATATGGTGGCCATCTTCCCAGTAACAAACACTAGTCAAGCAGTAGTGAAAAATAGATAGGTTCACGGATATGATTTATAGTCATTATTCATCACTTCACGGGTTTATTTGGAACCAACATAATAACCAGCTCCTAGTTGGCTTATTAGCTCAGTTCATAGAGCACTGCACCGGTATCGCAAAGGTCATGGGTGCAAATCCTGTGCAGGCCTGAATTTTTTTTTCAGGCCCTACTTTCACTGCTTCTTAAATAAGAAGTGTTCATTACTACCAAGATCGCTTTCATATTCTTTTCTTTATCCAAAGTTCACATATATGACTTTCACATACTTACAATCATTTACTAGTCACTTCACTGGTTTATTTGGAACCAACATAATGACCAGCTGCCAGTTGGCTTGTTAGCTCAGTTGGTAGAGCACTGCATTGGTATCACAGAGTTCATAGATTCAAATCCTGTACAGGCCTTATTTTCACTACTGCTCAAATAGTGTTCATTACTGCAAAGAACACTTTCATTTTCATTCGATCAACTACCTTTATGTACACCATACCTCTGGTACTTGTGTGACTTCTGAATCTTTTTGTTCTTTCTCAACTTCCACATGCTTACTTTCTCTACTTTCTTCATCACTTTGAGTACTTTCTGTAGGCTCTTCAAATTCCCTTTCTGTGTCTTTATCACTACCTCTTCCTGCTGCTTCTTCAGTTTCCTCTCTGTCCTGTTTCATTTGCAAAAACTGCTTCTGTAATTCTCTGTGCTGCTGTAGAAGTAACTCTTTCTGATACTGTTTTTCTTCATAACTATGGGATACAATTGGAGAAGGCGGCGAAGTGGGGTCATATTTCAAACTGGAAGAAATAAGCGGTTTGTTAACAGAAAGGTGTGCTTCTGCCACAGCTTTCTTCAGAAGATTTCCAGAAGCTTGCTTGGAGGGTGGGAGAGTAGGTCTGCAATATAAAACAGAGAAGAGAATAAAATAAAGCTCAAGAGTTGTTTATGTGCATTTATGAACGTAGTACCATTTGAAGATGGGGATGTAAATGCAGGTGTCAATATGTATGTTGTGGTTCAATTTTATCCTTAGTTCAAATTTTATTTTCTTTTGTTTTTGGGTATTGTAATGTATGATAATGAGTTTGAAACAAAGGAAACTAAAATTTGAACCAGGGATAAAATTGAACCACAACATGTACAAGTTGAAACATACACTAACATGTTCATGACTGATTTACACTTTGTAGAAAAGGTAAGGAGAACCATTTCAAAGATCATTCAATTGAACCTATATTAATCCTTTAACTCCCATGAGTGACCAAGACAGAATTTCTCCTTACAATATCAATACAATATCAACCAGATAAGTGATGAGAATAAAGAAAAATATCAATCTGGGTATAATTAGTTGATCCAATACTAAATTCTCAGAACTAACATTACAAGAATTGTATGGTTGACAGTAAGGAGAATTACAAATTTGATCTGGGAGTTAAAGGATTAAGTAGTCACCAACTGGGTAAAGGAAGTTGACTGATTAACACAGGTTCCACAGAAAGGGAATATTAAAAAAGAACAACAAAAAATGCCACTTTATGCCATAATTGTAATACCATGACTGCTACACAGAGATGACCGCTTACTTAAGGTGAATATAGCAGTTCTTTAAGGAAAAAAAATTCTTGGACTCTGAAAACCCCATGCTCAACCCTTTAACCCCTAAGTGTGATTAGCATCTAATTTCTCCTTACAATATCAGCCCTGAATCAAACATTATGGTCATGAGAATAATGAAAATGATCACCAGCTTAAGAAACCCATCATTGTTTAACAACTTCTCCTTGTCAGCACTTTAAGAAATGTATGAAGAATTGTTTGGAGAATATGCATACTGATGTTAGGGTGTAAAGGATTAAAACAGGGTGACCTCCTATTTCAGCACCACTCATTCCAAGGTCAACTGTACATGTACATTGTTTTTATATGAAGGAAATGTTCAAAATAACCGTTACAGATATTTCCCTCTGACCTCAAATACGATCTAAATCACTGACATCACTCAACTGCAAAAGTTAAGTGTTGCTACATGCATTATTGAGTTTCATGTGCACACATTGTATTGTTAGAGATCATTTAAAACATACTTTCGTTCCTTGACTTTCACAACACTGTGAAGATTAGAGGCTCTAGAGTCTTCTTCATCAGATGATGAGTGCTTCCGTTTTCGTACTGTGTCCCTTGATGACAGACCAACAGTCTTCACAACATTGGTGCTTATCCTTTGCTCTAAAAGAGAAAATTAGCACAAAGAAGTTAAACAGAATGCATCACAGAAACCAGGTGCATAGTTAGCTTTTCGACTTGTTGTAGGTCTGTAAACTGAGAAAGTTAAATTTTTGTTTCAAAATTTGCAATAGTTAAAAGTGCATAGTTATGTCATTATAATAATTATACTAAATTATACTAAGTTTGTCCTGGGACTTCATGTTTTGAACTTAAATTCAAGGTAAAAGAGCAAAGATACAGATAAGGAATATGAGCCTAGCAAGCTTTCATCACTTGTCTGCTGTGTGTCTGACTGGTTTTAGGAAGCTTCCAAAGACTGAGGCAAATAAAAAAGTTACTCCGAAATCCTTGTTCAGTCATAAGCAGTCATAAACCCCTTTAGCAACAGGTATGTCCACTGATAACAACAGCCACTTAGATATTGTTCAAGAATTGAATGTTTGGAGGAGAAGCAAAACTTCCAGGGTAAAATGTGAAATTTTAAGGACAATCTCTCAAGTGAGGACATTATCAGCTGACATACCAGCAGGCCAGAAGAGGGTTTTTATACTTTGAACCCTCCCATTAATTTTTGCATTGTGCAATGACAGCAAATTTTGTTGCCTTTTTTTCCTTTCCAGTGCAGCATTTAATATCATTTTTTTAACATCTCTATGACTAGAATCTACAAAACAAGTTTGTTTCTCTTCCACATAAAGTCATAAAGATGAAAAAGTGAATCACTTAAGCTGGTTTTTTCCACTGGCTTTGCTTCTTCTAAAATAATCAGAGGACAAATATCAATCTAGCAAGAGGTTATGGTGTAATAACTCTCTGGTGATTTTCCACCATGTAATATAAAGTATCCCATAGAATTGCAGGAAAATTAATGAGTGGGTTATAAAATGTTTTAAAAAGTTCAATGCATATTCATCACTAGCTAAAAATGTTTCATTCTTCTCTTTGTTTTTGCTATGGCCAAAGTACTACTACATTCCGAGGAAAAAGAAATCACTACAATTAACATTCTCAAAAAACCAAGGAAAGAAATTTCAAGAATTTTGGATTCTAAGGTTTACAAATGGGGTACAGTGGGTAGGCTTGTTATTGTAGAGAACAGTGGTACATGGTATAATTGTTACCCTTGTGTTATAAGTATATTCAGGGGCTAAGTTACCAAGTAGCTCTACCAGGTTTGAATTATCGTTATCATTATCACTGATAGGTGCAAAAAAATGTCTCTATTAATTGATTGATGGATTGATTAATTATTGGATTTCTAACCCTCAACTACATTTTTTTGTCCTTCACAGTAAAGTATCATGATGGTACAAACTTTCTATCTTTTCAGAAGACTTTGAAGAGTGTCTTTGATGCTCCTCTCTTGCGTCTGTTCTGTGAGGGCTTCGGCATCTTTCTTTAGTTGAAGTCTTCGAGTTAGCATCTTTCTTTTCTCTGCTCCTGACAGATTCTGTCTTCACTGATTTAATAGGTTCACTTGCCAATAAATTTAACTCTTCTGTATTTTCTGGCAAAAATAAGTAATAATAAAAAAATTAAAAGGATCAGTGGAGCATTTTTCCCAGTCTAATAAGCCTAGGATTTCTATCCACAGTTCTGAGCTGTAAAAGAGTTTCTAAATCAAGGGTTCAGTTAGGCTTCACTATTTACATGTAGCATTACCTTGTAAACTTGTTACATCTTGAATTTTTTGTATTATGTTCACAAGCCTGCCGACAAAAAAATTAAGTACTTATGAACTAGTAAATAAACTCATACAATGGTGAAGAAGTACAATTACACCCTGCAGTTCCACTTTCATGATGATTTAATTGATAATTATAATAATAATAATTTTAACACTTATATAGCACAATATACATACGGATATGATCTAATGCATTTTAAAACAACTGAAATAAAATAAGAAAACCTAACAGTTAAAAAAAAAAAAACACTAAGCATAAATTTGTATCTGCAGATCTCGCCACCATTGAAATTACTATCTCAAAATAATCTGATGTCTTTTTTTCTTGACAATAATTATACAATATATTTATTGTCAGCATGCCACATTTTACATTTTTCTTTTTAATCCAGCCTACCAATAGCAAAAGCAATAATTTCAGATCAATATGGTTTTAAACTAGACAGACGTGTATTCAAATTGATTCAGGTGCATTGCCATATTCCTTAAACACAGGCAAACATGAATCAAATTATTCTTAATGTATTCCAACCTGAAATTATTTTAAAACTATCAAATACACATGCATGTTTTTAAAATTGGAGACTGTGTACAGTAATCACAGGGTTGTGCTCTAGCACTGCCCACTGGCCCCTTACTTTTGTACTTGGACAACTAAGGAATCTTGGTTATTTTATAAAAAGGGTATGCAGCACAGCCTGGATTTCTCAATCTCAGACCACTGAGCTCTCTTCAATTAAACTTGGAGCACAGCTTTGAATCTCCATGTACTTTATGCTAGTTTTACCAAATTGAATGCAATTTTTAAAAAGACCCTGCACTCAGTTTAGAAAACTTTTTATGTATATAGCAGTTTTCACTCATCGTATAATGTACAATTTCCATCTTTTTACTAACCATTCAGTGAAGACTTTTGTATTTGCACCAAGAAATAACACCAGGTCCTCTGTCATCTGTTCTTTACTCCTCTTGTTAGCCAGCATAACCATAATATAATCTGGCAATTCCTCGTCTTCAAATGAAGTTTTAAGTATTTTAAATCATTGTTACATGACTTTCAGTAAAATTTACACCAATGAATCACCAAAAAGCATATACAGAACCACACCAACTAATATTTAGTTCTCTTCTTTTAACCTTTGAACTCCCATGAGTGACCAAGACAGAATTTCTCCTTACAATATCAGTACAATATCAACCAGATAGGTGATGAGAATAAAGAAAAATATCAATTTGGGAATAAGTTGATCCAATACTAAATTCTCTGAACTAACATGATAAGAATTGTACAGTTGACAGTAAGGAGAGTGACAAATTTGATCTGTGAGTTAAAAGGTTAATACCACTCAAAATAATATATTTGTATAACTTACCAACATAAGATCCCAGTTCTCGTAATTTTGTTTTGACAGCACTCTGAAAAGTTTGTAATCATAAAACTCTTAGCAGTTAAGTATTTAATCCTTTTTTGGCTAAACTACATAATTTAGGGCCACTTTTAACCTTCTATAAAATAAGTCCGCTTGTTAGGCTGCTGCCAAGCCAAACGAGACTTAAGACTTAAGCCCTAACAAGCATATAAACTATTCCTCGTTCCTTCATCTCCTACCGAGCCAAAAGAATCGAACGATATGCATGTTTCTTCCTTCAAAACTGACCCTATTTTGTGTAGTTACTCTCCTAACTAAAAAGTTATGAATAGAGTATCATCAATAAACAAATTCCAGAACACTTCCTTAAGATAAAAAAAAAACTTTGACCTGAAAACTTTATGGAGATATCATTGACTGTCTCTTATCTAGAACGCTGATGATATGTGCCTTACTTGATCTTCAAAGATACAATTTAACGGCCGAGACGGATGTTATGTGATGCATTTTTCAGCTGACAGGTAAAAACAAATATGGCGGCTTACTGGGTGCATGTAGTTAATGAATTTAAACGGCAAACAATCCAACCCTAAAACCTCGTCTATTGAGAGTTTAACAGCTACCGAATAAATCCACTACTATCGAAGCTACTCACCCTAATCTTTTGACTTATCTCGTTGCCAATTTCCATGTTAGATTCCATCAAAAGAAGGTTTTAGTGCTCTCCACAACGACTATCTATTCGTTCAACGCGGCGAGGTCGCATGGTTGCTTGCATTTTACAAAATACTTCTGGACAGGACTACTGCGTGCTCAAATATTGATCGTTAAACTCCGTCGAATATTCGGTTTCCGAATTTTCCGATTCCGAGTGTAACGGACGTGGGAAGGTATTCCATGGCTGTAATGGGTTGTGAGGTCGAATTTCTTCCTGGATGTAAATTCTTATTGATCTTATAGTTCTTTTCCAACCAGTTCAAGAAGGCGAAATCGTGATTCAACCTGGTGCACCTTTCCACGGCTGGCTTTAATTGCTCCCTGCCAAGATGTTCAAGCGTTTGTTTAAGAAACGTAAGCGGGTTGAGATTTCTGAACCTCAGAACTTTGAACATCGATTTCACACTGGATATGATAACAGTACGGGCAAATTTATCGGTCTACCGCCACAGTGGGAAGCACTGCTTGGAATACAGAGGGAATTACAAAACAGACCTAAACCGATTGTCGATCCAGAAATAATCACTCAAGTTTCGCCACTGAGAAAATCCCAGTGGAGTCTACTGAACTCTGAGGCAAAGGGTCCTGCCTCGAAAGTTATTTCTGTTTCTCGCTCAAATTCACTTCGCAATTCATTCCGAGTCAATCAAGGCTCAAGGCCTTCGACCAGACGGCGAGAGAGAACGAGTACAGAACTTTCCGAAGACGTGAATTCCACGCGCGCGTTTAACGGGAAAGTTCCACGGGCGGAATATATTCGAGAACATCCCGAAGAAAACAACCGTCGATTTTCTCAAGGCTACGAACGCCCGCACAATGGCAGGGAAATCAATCGACAGCAAAAGATCCCTGCTATAGAAAGAGAGACTTCAGCAAGTTCTGATTATGGCTCGGCGAGCACAGACTCTGGAGAAAACAATGGCGAAGACCTCCGAAGCTCTTCCAAGACAAGACTCATGTACTCTGATTCCCCAGTCAGTCATGAGCAGTTTCGAAAAGCGCTAGAAGTAGTTGTAACTTCAACTGGTCCTCCGGAGTATCTGGACAATTTTATTAAAATCGGCGAGGGCTCGACCGGGGTTGTCTGTCTTGCTCGAGATAACAAAACAAAACGCCAAGTTGCAGTGAAGAAAATGGATTTGAAAAAACAACAACGAAGAGAACTCCTATTTAATGAGGTACGTAAGCTTAACAGCGAATGATCCAGCTTTATTTTTTTAGGGAATTGCACATTTCTATCGGTTCTAAATAAATTCGATTGCTGTCTCAAAAATGCGATATGCGGAATTCGATTAGTTTCTAAGCGATGTCCGTTTTGTATCAAATGTCGTCGTCTGAAGTGTGGTCACGGATTACACTGTATATAACAGCTAACAGAGTTAGTTGTTTTACAGTGGTTATACATCATAAGGGGCTATTGTCATTGGCGAAAATTTATTGCTTTTATAAACTAAGATGTGAGGTCGAAATATTGCGAAGTTTCTTTGTAAATTGACATATGATAATTCTTAGGTTATTATCTCTGATCGTTCGAGTGTTGTATGTTATTATTGCGTGATAAATATTGAACGATCTTCCACTGATGAATTATTTTTACGCGTGAGGGTACAGTTTAACGATTTTGTGGTTTACGATACGATCCCCTGGGTTCACAAGAATTCAGTTAGTTTAATAGTGTTCTAAGTGTGTGCTGAAATATTTTGGTAACTAACCACATCAATGAACGGTTATCTTCCTAATTGGATATTCATTACAGTAGTGTTTGCCAAAAGGTTATTTTCAATGTTAGACAATTACTTAAAACGTGTTCTGTTTTCTTACGAAGTATTTATCACAATTTTTACTCACAACTTGGTAAATGCATCGCAAATTCCTTTTTTAATTCAGAGGTAATTTTTGCTTCATGTTCACACCGTTACTTGAATGTTTGCCTATTGTTTATCGATGGAAACGGATTAATAAGATTGGATTTGACAATGCAAATAAAATATATACTTTTGTTATCAGTGAAAGAAAAAATGCAGTATTTAGGTGACTGCCTTTGAGTATACAAAAACATGGCTGTGAATTCTATTTAGTTTTATGTGTTTAATGTATCATGTATTCCACAACACTGGAGCTCATGCCAACAGTCTAAAGGATTGTTGAGTTCAACATTCTTCTTACCGGTGTTTCTAGAAAATTTTCAAGGAGATTCTTGTTAATCATTACTGTACATCTTTATTTCTCCATCTCACTCAACAGGCCTAACAATAATTCTTTATTTTATTCTAAGTTAATTTTGATTTTTTCTGAATTGTTTTCTTTTTGTTTGCAATTGGAGTATGATGATAAATTTCCCCTGATTTTTTCTGAATTGTTTTCTTTTTGTTTGCAATTGGAGTATGATGATAAATTTCCCCTGGTGATTCAGGCCTCAATATTCTGTGGACTAATGTACTAAGGAAGCACTGTTATGTGAACATCCCTTATGGGTGTTTCTTCATTGGCCTATGTCAGGGTTTTTGTTTGTGTTAGAAAACTCAAATTCAATTTATTTCAGTAAGAAAGTACAGGCCTAAATTTTATATAATGTGGCCAAGCTTAGCTAATGGGTTAGAATGTTAATTTTCTGTATTCTTAGTAGAGCATCCAATAATCATATTGTCAACAAAAAGACAAAGAATTTGACTAAATTTTCTTTTGAAGTTTTCAGATCTGAAATCAGATTTCAAACTTATCCTGGGTTATCTTAACCCAGCTTTGCACTTCCCAGTCCAGGATTGTAAATCTTGGCTACCAATAAAAGGCAATGTTTATGCTGAGTTTATTCCAATCTAAGATATGTTTTGTATGCTGGTTTTTAGGTCGTGATCATGAGGGATTATCCCCATCCTAACATTGTAGAAATGTATGGAAGTTACCTTGTGGCAGATGAGCTGTGGGTGGTGATGGAATTTCTCGAGGGAGGATCATTAACAGATATCATCACTCATACAAAGTGAGGAGAAGTATATTTTGATAATTAAGTAATTGCTGAAAGCTATGCTTGTACAAGGATTGTAAGTTTGCTGCATGGGCAAGGAAGATTTTAATAAATCAATGACCTACCATAACCAGTTGTTAATTCGCCCTTCCATTTATGAAACCAACTCCTCACCCCCCTGGCTATAGGCCCATCTACTTGTTATCAGCGAAAAAGAAAATTTTATCAAAAGCCCACTCCCCCTCCCCCTGGATATAAGCTCCTCTCTGGCTTTTCCCTTTTTAGAGATAGGAACTCAATTTATTATGAAGTTTTGAAGCTTGATTCAAAACCAGTAAAATACAGAAAAACCAATATGGTGTACAAGCTTCAATTGCTAGGGCCCTAAATCTGAATAAAAAACATGTGGTCCATAACATTACAGCCCTTGAACTCAGTTAGTATTTAGAGATACATTGTGTTTTCATACTTGCTTGTCTTCTGCTAAAAGGAGTATACTTTTACATATATGTAACAAGCTGGGATAAAATTAGTTGACACATATAACATCCATTTAGTCACTTTTTAGGAATTATTTAGAAATTTCAAAATGAATTGTGGTTTGTGACAATGCCTCCCATCCCCAATCATTATTGTACAGTCAGAGTAAACAAAATGCAGGGTATCATGGATAGAATTGGTATACTAAATTCCAGAATATTGGGATTTCAGTGGAAATGTGTCAATAATTTTGTCATTGATTTAAACAGGAATACACTAGCATGTAAATGTCAGTTGCATAATCCAGTCATCTGCTGAAAGCTTAAATGTTGGCTATAGCAATGTTACTGCACAACTGTATATACATGAAAATTATCAAAATAACTTTAATAACAAGGATGTTTATTTAATTTTTTTCCTCAGTCTGTCAGAGGAACAGGTATCTTGTGTGTGCCGTTCTGTGTTAAAAGCTCTGGCTTTCCTGCATCCTCAGGGAGTCATCCACCGAGATATCAAGAGTGACAGCATTTTGCTCACCACAAGTGGGCAGGTATGTCAGGAATACTTGAGTCTATTAAGACACAATTTTATCCATATGGTACTCTATCCAAGAGTTTTTTCAGTATGTTTTGGTTTACCAGTTTTCTTCTTTTCATGAAAATCATACACATCAAATTACAGCCAGACACTGATAGTAATTTGTCAATCCTCTAACTCTTAAGATCTGGTTCTTACTTCTTCCCTATAACTGCTATACATTTCTTTGTAAGCTAGTAAGAGAATTTGGTGTTTGATCGAAATAAGAACTTTTAACTGATTAGTATGAGTATTTTCATCACATGTTTGCTGGACAATGTATGGATATTATAGGGAGAAGGTACATGTTTATCACTTCTTTGAGTTAAGGGGTAAATGGCAAAATAGTTTGGCTTTATTTTTTTTAATGTGGGTTATTAATAAGTAAAATTTTATATAAGAACAAAACACCCAGGGAAACAAATCAGTGAATTTTTGTTCAAACAAACTGCACCATACCTCAAGGTATTAATTACAACTGGAATACCAGAGATCATTACCAACTGAAGATAATTTGAAGTCTAGCAGACTCATTGCATTGTATTATTTTACATGAAGTCAAACATGGCAATTTTTTATTCATTTTTTTTTTTTTTACTATTTATTTTATAGGTAAAGCTCTCTGACTTTGGTTTTTGTGCACAAGTCACTGATGATATGCCTAGAAGAAAGTCTCTTGTTGGCACTCCATACTGGATGGCACCAGAGGTGATATCAAGAAAACCATATGGCACAGAGGTAAGAAAATAGCAAAAACTCCCACAATTTATTTTTTATTTTTCAGATTTTATAACCTTCATTATTACTGTGACAAAAACAGTTCAGTTAATTTATTATTGTAAAGTTAAATTTCACCTAACATACATGTAATGAACAAAAATCACAACCTTGCAATTGGAAAAAATATTATATTTTTATGTAGTATAAACCTTTGTTCAAGTCATGGTTTCATTGAGATCTTTAAATTATTTCCCCCAGTAGAAATGTAATGATATAGTTTTCTTTTTATATTTCTGGTTTTATTTTGGATATTAAAACTTCCTTGATTTCGTTGTTTTTCCTTCCACAAGGCTGATATTTGGTCTCTTGGGATTATGGTTCTTGAGATGATTGAAGGAGAACCTCCTTATTTTAGTGAGCCGCCATTACAGGCCATGAGGAAATTACGAGACTTGGATCCACCAATCTCAAGTATGAGTAATGAGGTGAGTGGGCTATAACTAGAAAATCTGATAATAGATTTTTAAAAAAAATGATAGTGCCTGTGTTACTAAAAGATGTATTAACTGTCAATAATTGAAGAGTTGAGGCCACAGTTACTGTAAACATTCAATCAACATATAATGAGCTGAATGCTACACATGTTCTGATTGATTCTTAACAGATCTTGATTACCACAACAGATGCATGGCTAAGTATTTTGCATCTATCTCTCTTGTTTTGCAGATGTCTCCTAGAATGCTGTCATTTTTGGAAAGGACTTTGGAGCGTGATCCAGTGAAAAGAGCTTCCGCCTTTGAACTTCTAAATCATTCTTTCATTCGTAGTACAGCAAACTCAACATCTCTTGCTGACATGATGAAAAGTTTCAGACATAGTGTTTGCTAGCCAAAAAGAGCTAAACAGGAAATACAAGGATTTCTCTCCCAGCAAGGCAAACTTCTCATCAGAATGTTGGTCTCTATGATTTTTTCACAATTTAACTTGTCCTCCCTCAAGTCTTGGAAACAAGTCTTACAGACTTTAGTTTGCTATAGCAAAGCAATTGGTTTTTCACAGTTGTACCTTCCTATGATGGCTACTGTTGGATGTCCAAAATGTGGTCATCAATCAAATACAGGTTTGTTTAGTGTGGAATTGACTGGAGTACCTTCCTATTTTAGGACCTAAAAAGTTTGTCCAAATTAGAAGGTGGCCATATTAGCAGTGATGGTTGTTAGTAGTGAAAAGATGCACTGAGGTTGTTGTGGAAAGTGAATTTCAGGTCAAAATGATTTAAGCTGGTTTGAATAGTTTTTTTTTCCCAAAAATTTAATGTTCTAGGTAAATTACTATTGATGTTCATTAAACAAAGTGAAATAGGAGTCAAACTCTTGTGAAGTCATTTTAACCTGAAATTATTCAAACTGCAACAAACATACCTTTCAATGTAGCTGGGTGCCGAGCTATCAGTGAAAGTGCATCAAAGTGTTATTTTTAGTGCTATGCAATCTTTGTAGTAAAATTTCACCAAAAATGAATAATAAGTCAATGGAATGTCATTTATAATCAACAGTTCAGAATCAATTTGTAAAATTATTCAAGACACGTACATGTAAATACCTCTACACAATGTATATTGACCAATCTGGTTGTTGTATGGCTTGCTTTAAAATTTTTAAGCCTGCGTAGAACTGAAAGTGATGGCCAAAGAAATGAAAGCAGTTAATATACATTTTTTTACCTTCATTAATGTCTAGGTGTCTTAAGACTTAAGGTGAGATTTGTTGGTCAAAAATCTCATCAAGAAGTTTTTGGCTAGTACCCAAATCTCTTTTTGATGTCATTTTGGGTTCTTCTTTCATGAGATTAGGAGAATTGAAGTCTTGTTTTCTCAAGGGATTTGCCTTTTCTGAAAGAAAATTAATGTTAACCCTTTAACTCCCATGAGTGACCAAGACAGAATTTATCCTTACTATATCAATGCAATATCAAGCAGACAAATGACAAGAGTAAAGAAAATATCAATTAGGGGATTATAAGTTGATCCAATACCAATTCTCCAAACTAACATCACAAGAACTGTATGGCAGACAGTAAGGAGAATTACTAATGAGATCTTGGGAGTTAAGGGTTAATTGGGAAAATCTGGTGATTCACTGCAGTATTTAGTCCATTGTATTAATTTAACCCTTCAACTCCCATGTGTGACCAAGACAGAATTTCTCCCTACATTATCCATACAATTTCAAGCAGACAAGTGATGAGAATAAAGAGAAATATCAATTAGGGGACTACAAGTTGATCTAATACCAAATTCTCCAAGGTAACATCACAAGAACTGTATGGGAGACAGTAAGGAGAATTGCAAATAAGATCTTGGGAGTTAAAGGGTTAAGGCTTTGTGAAGTTACTTTAAGAAATGACATCATGCGAAATAGTTATGAGAGCTAATGTTTCATGAACATATCACATGGCTGTCTTTTTCTGGTGAATAGAAAATAATATTTTTTTTAATTACGAGGGTGTTAGCCTGCAAAAGTAACCAAAATGCATGCAGTACAACAGCTCAAGCACTGCAAAGGGTGCATTATATCCCAGATTAGCCATTTTTTGTCATTTCGAATTATGAAAACTTGGCTGGTTTACTCTATATGAAGCAAAATGACAGCAAGGCTTGCAAAAACCTACTCTAATGTAACAAAACGAGAAGGTCTCTAGAAATTATGGCTTTGTTGTAGTTGGAAGGAAGCCTCCAGGTCAAGTTTTGTGCAAGAGATACAAACGCAAGATAGAAGTGACGAATTTTCCAGGTTTCATTATGAGACTCCTTGCTGTTTTTCTATGTTTTTCAAGATTTTAGAACTTGTGTACTAAGTGCTTTAGACTACAGCATAAGCCACTTTTGATGTATTTGAGAAGAAACCTCTGAGGGGAAGTATATTTTCCGAGCTAAAATCGTGTCCCGATTCAGAGGGCCTTTTCAAATTTTACATCAGATTAAGTATTCATTTTGGTAGAAATGTGTGGTCTCAGTTAATGCTAGTAGCGTTCTTCACGATGTTTCCGAAATTACATGTTTTCATTTAGGGAACCTTTCATAAAGTTATAAGTAGTGTTTCAATAATGCAGCCATTTTAACAATCAAATTAAACAACCAGCAAGCTATTTAATCGCCGCAGTGGCTTTGCAATTAATGCTGCGATTAATTTTAGATGAAATTTCCTTTAGTTTTTAAGTGAACCATGTTGTATGCCATGGACAGTACACAGATCTAATCTTAATTTTTTAGACCACTGAACCTTTTTTTTTTAATCATAATTAATTTCAATTTTATGGGTTTCACGATGTAAATAGGACAGACTTAGAAGTGGTTTGTATTTTTTTACATTAAAATGCCTGAATTCTGAGCAAGTGTGGTTTGTTTTTTTACCCAAAATAAGGGGGCGGTGGGCGAGCCCCCCCGGGCCCCTCCCTTAGATCCGCTACTGCAATCCTCGCAAGTGGTTACAATCAGTTATGTCTGGTTTCCTCATGTTGGAATACGAGTGCAGTTTTTTTCTAATTGGGGGTCAAACTCTTCCAACCCCCCTTGTTCCTCCATACCCTGAGAAGGAAATGATCTAACTGAACTCGATTCTTCTCAAAATCAGAAAAAAAGAATATGATTATAGATTGCTTTGGTTTACTTTGATAGAAAGTCGTCAAGAAAAATAATGACCAGATCGTTTATCTTTCTTACATGGAGTGGTTTCAAGGCATCAAGCTCGTGGATCTTTGATAAATTGTAGATTTCACGTGATTGTGTAGAGTTCTGTTGGTGTCATAAACGACCTCTTGATTCGAAATGTCAGATTCACTTCAGGTAAGCAATATTTCGGACTACTTCCGACTTTGAAGGTCTGGTAAGGTCTGTTTCCTATTAGGAAGGTGTGGTGATGGCTTTTACGGTAAACGGTTAGAATTTTGGTAATTTTACAGCTAACGGTTAAAATTTGTCAATTTTTACGCCCAACTGTTTTTTTTTCTGCAGTTTCACGGCTAACGATTTACCCCGATGAGATCCTCGATCACGGAAAACCCCTTGCGATTTTACTCGGAGTAGAAGAGCATAGAACACTTCATCACAATGGAATGTGCTGCACATAGAATTAATTACCTCTGAGTAACCTTGAAACGTGAAAATGTGTGATGTGTGATTAGCTTACTCGCACGTATCTTATCTTGGTAGTCTGGAAATGTTGAAATGTTGAAATGTTGAAATGTGGAAATATCATTTGCATGCTTCCAGATTTCCATATCTCCACATTTCCAGAATACCAGGTTCAGGTAAATGTGAGTAAGACAAAGACTCATTTGCATCTACAACTTTAAACGTGATTGGTTGATTAAAACTACAATTTTGAATGTGATTGGCTTATTGAACTGTCCGATAAGAACTTGGCGAGTGAACGAGTGGAAAATGTGAGTTTTTTAAACCAATCAAATTGAGGAAATTGTGACTTTTATGACTAAATTTGTGTTGAAAACGTGCAATTTATTGAATCTCATTTGGGCTAGTAAAAAATGGGTCTGGGTTCGTAAAATTTCAGAACAACTAACCACTGGGCTAGTCGAGGTAGAACAGGTTTTGAAAAGACAAATAAAGAAAAAATCAGTTTTAGTTGATCGTGACAGAGGATATTAACAAAAGAAACTTAATTCGCATTTTGCGATCGATAACTTCATCTGTGTTTAGTCTGTGAACTCAAAAGGACAGGACACTAGTAGGACCCAGTAGTTTACGGATAGGCCGCCATCTTGTAATATAATGGCTAATTAGTTAAAAAGTTATAGTCGAGCACTGGCGCCTCTGGTACCCCAGTCACACCAGAAAAACATATATAGTTAAACCGTGTTTAACTGAATGAAAATCGGAAACAGAGAACTGATAAACTGAATTTTCCAAACGATTCAAGTAATTTCTGACTTGTATTTTCAATAGGCTACATCTGAAGATAACAAACAATGGTTCAAGCAGCTTCTATGAAGAAAAAAAATTGAAATTAAACTGTGTTTAACAAAACAGCTTTAAAATATGTTTAAGTTTTGGTGTGAATGGAGTATAAAACAAATGAAGTGTAAGGAATGCACGTTCTCCATAACAAAGTTTAGCATTGGCAGAAAGATTTAACGTAAGATTTAGCTACTTTGAATAAAAGACATCCCCTGTCTAGAAATGTAAACAGAGCATTCAGCGTCGTTAATTTTTTAGAATTGAATTTAAATAAATCTCCTATCAAGAGATGTAATCAGAGCGAACAAATAACTCCAATAATAATTCATCGTCAGTAGAGGTAGTGATCGTAACAACATTTTTAAGTCATGCCGAAACGTAGACATCTTTCCTTCACAGGGCGCATCACGGACGCGCCACAAAAGTCTTCCACATGAGCTGCCAGTACAAAGCTCGACAGTGATGAGTCCAAAATATCTATGAGGGTGAAGCATTTTCCTCTTTCCTAAATTTTATTACTTTTTGAATTTGTCCTTCCTGAAAAGCGTCTTTAAGTTGAAAATAAGAGAGAGAAATGAGAAAAAAGAGCTGAAAATTTCAGATATTCCTATATTTCTAGGGTTGAAGTGATAGAGAATAATCCTCGGATATGTTGACGTCTTATGCACCTTCCTTCTTATTGCTTCTCCAGTATGTTTTATTTATTGAACAGCCAATGTTCACAAACTTGTTGACGACTTGCCAGTTTATCACCGGTATCCAAACAGCTTGATAGCTGATAACTCATTAATTTACAGTTTTAACTGAATCACAGAAACGAGCTTCGGGTTCTTTATGTAGTTTTACTCGAATGAAAAGTTAATTGGAAAAGTGAAAGTCATGCAAACTTACCTCAAACTTCTCCTTAATTAATATAAAATAATGTAATTTACTGATAAAGGCGCCAAAATTTGCGAGAACCTTTAGATGTCAACTTCCTGTTATTGGTAGAATTTATTTATAAAACAAACTACGAACTTGTTATCTAAGAGGGTGGGCCGGACGGGTAAATATTGGGCATGAGGTCCGTACGTAATGACCACGAGCCAAAGAGTTTTCTGTCGGTATTGCCCAAACTCAATCAATAACTATTTTAACATATGATCACTGAGTTATGTTTGAACCTAAGGAGGACGCCGCTATAATATACACAAGAGGGGAACGCGCTGGACTACAAACAAAGAGATTGTACGATTAAAATATTTTCCTATCTAATTTTGGGTCAGGACAAGGAATTCACAGTTTAAAGAAAGACATGACTCATTTCTTCATACCTGTTTCTTCTTTAATTAAACTTCAATAACAGAACTTCTGTTGTTGGAAAATCCTAAAGACTCGTGCGAGTGCGGGGATTTAAAGGTTTTCCCGGACCGGCTTACGACAACTTCCCGTCCAATCCCCACACATTCATTACGGTTTTCTGTTGGATTTGGTTGAGTGGAGCCTTACAGGCCCTAAGATAATTGATTTAAAATGTTATTCAGCTTTTGCAATTAAGCACTGACGCTGCTTTAAAACTACCGAAGAATGCTATTTTAAACTTTTCCATGTGATTGGTCGACGAACGGAACCTTTACAGGTCCTAGGATAATTGATTTAATGTGTTATTCAGGCGCGATATTGTCTAGTCACTAAGAACTATTAAATATTATCGGCTCCATTGTCATCCGGCAGATTTTCAAGGAATCATCAAGGCTTCTCTTTGTGAGTGAGGTAGGAATCTTTTTCGTTCTTCCATTTTTCATCTTTTTTACCACTGAGAATACTTAATCATGATAAAAAAGATTTCTTTGTATCATGAAATGAGTGGAAGAATAAAAATACCGTTTACGCGTAACGCTCAGAGAGCCTAAAACAGTGTTATTCAAACTGACCTTGTTATTCGAACTGACGCCGTTTTAAAACTACCGAAAAATGCCATTTTAAACTTTTCCATATAATTGGTCAACGAGGGTTACGGAAGTTTTTTCGATCAAGTGCTCAGTGAAGAGAACCTATTACGATCGTGGATAAAATTTGCCACAGATGAAAATCTTTTGAAACTAACCTCCTTGGTCGGCATCACTTCGAACACATTCGACATAGTCTCATCGTGGCTGTTCATTGAAGTATAGTCTATAGAAAGGTACTGAATTTTGTCAACTTCACAATGACGTGTTTTTTCTTTCCACGAACCTATGACTATCGCGAACCTATGAATTTAGAACGTAAGCTGAAATCATTTCTTTCCACCATAATGTTTCATAGGACTTTTAATCATAGTCTCTTTAGTGTGTCCAGTTTCAAAATGTTTTATCTTATTAAGCAAGAATTCCTCAAAAATAAGTTTTCCGAGTGATTTTTGACTCCTGAAAAAAATTAGACTACTCCAATGTACTGAAAGAAAAGTTTTGAAGAATAAAATGAATCTGAATTATTGAAAAAGGAATTGAAACGATACCAACTTGGCGAAAACAGTCATGCAAAACTGATTTCTTAAGCCTTAAAATTCTATAAATGAATCTGAATTATTTAAAAAGGAAGTAATATGATGCCAAAAGATACAGGAAACATACAATTGTGCAAATTTATTTCTTAAGCCTTAAATTATTAAAAAAGGAACTCAAATGACGCCAAAACACGTAGGAAACAGTCAGATTTAGGCTGATGTTGTAAGAAGCTATTCCACAGTGTTAAAGCATTTGCGTGTCTATGTATTACTTATCCGATCTGATTTCGAGGGCTGTAGTGTTGGATATTAACCCCGATTTCATGACCTACTTTGGTGTTTGGAAACATCATATTCCGCTTGTACGGTTAAGTGAAGATTTTCTTTATTTTCTTTTCAATCGATTGGCTGTCTCCTAACTTTAATAACAGCAAAGTGATCATACCACCATTTTCCTGAGAAAGGACCAGCTAAATTTATAAGTTTCAATTAGTTTTTGCTGAAGTCTGCGATGAATTTGGCACTCAAGCCATTGTCCAAAAACGGAAAAATTTTACAAGGTAAAAAAATAAACACCGGTAAATGTTAACCATGTCTTTAATAACGTTTGGTTCATACGCCAGCGGGTGTTCATCGAGATATAAAGCGCGTGGGAAGTTTGGAGAGCACGAAAGATGCTCGAAAAAATGCTTGAGGAGCAGCCGAGAGGAACTGTAGCTTCTTGAGTGCCCTCCAAACTTCCCAAGTGCTTCATATCTCGATGAATGCTCAGTATGACGACGTATGAACCAATTTGTTTATGACATCATTATGCTGGTGTTTAAATATTGTTATTCCTCGTGCAAAATAATTGTCAAAGGCAGGGCGCAATATCTCTAAAATAAGTCGTCTTTTAGTCAAACAAGCTCTATTGAATTAAGAACTGTTGAAGAAACTATACCCAAAAGGAAAAAAAGGTGATAGTTTTGATTAGAATGTATTCAGAAATCGAAGTTTTTAGAAAAAACCACGCAGAAGATGCTTAAGGATCAGTAGATTTCAAAGTCGGTTCGAACGTATGTCGGGTTTACCAAATAACACGCGTGCTAAGCGAAGAAAGAAATATTTCCAGGCAAAAGTTCCATTCAAATAATTGCTAGATTTGCCACTCAGAAGCGAAAAATTAAAAGTTTTCTGGGTGTAATAGATCATGGTTGAATGTTCCATGCGGCCGGAAAATCAGTTGCGCAGCGTTGTGTGGATTTTCGCGTCTTTAGTTTTCTCCCTACAATTTTTCCCGAGGACCCAGATAAATCGCACTCAAGAAGCTTAACTTTAACTCCTACGGTTCTCTCGTGTCCTCCAAACTTCTCAAGTGCATCCATCCAATTCTTTATGATTTGTAGACAGATTTCTTAGGAAAGAACAGCATTCAAAGCAGAATGAGTCCAGAGTTCTGGCTGACATTCATGTTTGTGATGTTCTGGATTTATGTCATTAACGCCACTGGCCAGTGTCATGAAAATGAACACTCCATCGGAAGAATGTTCCTCAGAGGTCACACCTTTAAAACATTACGGGTTGGATTCCCTGAGGAGTGCTATCTGTGGTGCGAAAAAGAAATCAGGTGTCAGAGCTACAACTTTGTCATTGGTCAAAATATCTGTGAACTGAACAATCGTACAAAGGAGGCAAGACCAGAAGATTTTGGGCCAGACTGGAAAAAATTTTACATGAAACGTTCTCAAAATAGAGGTAGGCTTTTGCCTCACAACTGCACTGATAATGAACTTTGTCACTGAGCTATAAATTCTTCAAAACCTGATATAATAAAGTTCAAAAGGCAACTAGGTGGACAGTCAGACATGGTTTGATGCTACTCTGGTTTAAAGATCTTTTTAGCCAAGAAGTTACGACTCATTAATTCATACTGTTCAAAACCTGGTAGCTTACTGATATTATCTCAATACAGCTTTTTTAAAAAAAATTTTTTTAAAAAATTTTGAAACTAAGCTAGTGAGCAGCACTCTACGAACGTAGTTGTAAAACTTCTTTATTCTCCGACGCGTTTCGTCTAACTGTGGTAAACTTCTTCAAGCCGGCCAGGGATGAGTTTTACGGAAGCGATACTACCTAAAAAAATTCTCCTAAGGTAATAGTTTTGTTACTTTCCGTCTCTCTAATATGCTTGTGGAATAGAAAATAAGCTATCTCATAAGCTATCTTGATACCCCTAAAAGACACGAGCGACTTTTAAAAGACCTTACCAGGACCTTTAGGGTTGCACTTGCTAATTGCTGTAGGTACAACCTACCGTAGGTAAAAGAATATCCCCGCCGGAAATGTTTTTACTACTTCCTGTCTTAACGTGCGCATGACAAGTAGAATCAGCATCCTACTCAGGCTAAAAGAGATTGGTCGTTATCGTCACTTTTACATAGTTTTGGGTTTTTTTCTCGGCCCAGTCCCTCTCGGATCCATCAAGGACCTTCCAGCAGCAACGTGTGGTGAGATCAAAGCGAGTGAGGGAGACGAGATGGCCAATGGGAAATACTGGATTTACTCTGATGGTTTTGGAGGGGTCATCGAGGCTTACTGCGATGGTAAGTCATTTAATTTGGACCGAGTTCATCATGAAACTGAATCCTGTTGGTGTCACCATATTTCTTTAGTTTTGACTTCATGAAAAGAATGAAATAGTCACAGAGTTGCTGCAACATAAAAAACAAGAATAATAATAATAAAAAAAAGGTAACAGTGTGCTAATTTTAGTGGTGCTATTGAAAGGTAAACTTGTGAAGGAAAAGAAAAAATGTCACTGGCAAGTATTATTTTCTCGTTTATAGAAAATTGTACGCCATTGAGATATTAGTTTTGGATAAAAGCCGAAAGACACAATTTATAGAGTGACTGCTTATGACTTATTTGCAACAGCCTTTTATCAAAGTTACATATTTGGCGCTATTTTGTTGGTTTTTGCCTTTCAAATATTTTTATTGGTTACGATATTAAGGACGGTGACAAAAAACAAACACGGCTAACACTCGTGTAGTATGTATAGTTTCGTGTTCAAAAATAAAACAGAACAAAAAAATATATACTAGTCATGACGGTGTAAGAGCGACTACGATCATGCAGAGGTCCATCGCGGCTAGCTGATCATGGCGATCTCCGGTCATCGCAGTGAAGCAAGCCTGAGAAATTATCTCGGCCGCCCTTCGAGTAAACAGTTAAGAGCTTGCTCTGATGTCCTTTCCGAGTTATTTCTCTAGTCACTTACGAAGTGGCTAGAGCACTCAAAAAGTGTGGAGAAACACTCGACTATGTCTCGTGTTTCTCCCTCCTCTTCCTTAGTGCTTTAGCCACTTCCTGCGTGCTTTACAACAGAACAGAGCACAGTCAAGGTTTCTCTATTTCTTAAATAGTAGGTGTATCGTATTATTTTTCAACAGGGAGTTGGCAGAAGATAAATGGCAAAGAGCCTATCTGCTTTGGAGCCAAAGATGACCAATATGGTTCCTTCAAAATGACAAAAAGTGGACATGTGAAGACAATGAAGCTTATTCACAGGTCAGGGTCGGTGCGCTGCAGCAGTTCTACTATTTCATCCTACTGGGGCTGCATCCACCCAGAATATGGAGAAACTTTGATGACGATCATCACAGATGCCAATAAGAAGGCCATTCTGCCCCCTACCGAAGACTTGAAAGCTTTTGTTTTCGGTTATTATGGTTATTATAAAAGAGAGCACTTTTACAATCTTCCTGGATATCACCATAATTCAACTGAGCTGGTTTTTCGCAACCTCGTCAATCCATTGTCTGTCTCGAGCAACCAAGAGATGCAGATATGGTACGGACAGGATTGGATAGACTTCGGAGAGGTAGACAATAGCGGTAAAACCTGTGTTGATGTGTATGCATGGTATGGGTGAGTCTGCCCTCTGGAACATGCACAGAACATGGGTGAAGTTCTGGAGTGCTCTTAAATATAACGACATTCAAACCTCATAATTCAGGTGGCAAATAGCACGAAGAAGTTAACTTTTAGGTGGGTAGTTTGGTATTACAATGTTACTTCCCCCCACCCCCCCCCCCCCCCCGTAGAAAAATCCAAGCTACGCCCCTGCTAAAAGCCTAAGCGTATTTTGTCAACGTAAAATGAAAAATTAGTGGAAAAACCATGGACTCTCCTGCACATGAAGCTCAGTAGCATTTTTTTTTATAAAGACAAACCTTAGATGTAAAGAGGTTAAAGAGCTGATAAAGAAATCCTTTTCATTTTTTTTAAGTGATAAGAATTTTTGTATGGTAAAGTATCGCTGAAAAACACGAAGGAACAAATGATTAACACTTTTAGTATTATCCTTTTGGAATATGGAAACTTTATCCTTGTTAATTGTTGAGTGCACGACTAAATTATTGAGATGGTTTTGTTTCAATAAACGTGTTTTGGGGAGTGGTCATTCATTTGGGGTTTTTCTCTCAGGCTCGATCTAAAAGACCAAAACATAACAAATGCAAAACCACAACAACAAAAAAAAAAAAAAAAGCAGAAACAAAGCAAAAAACAAATAGCATCTTCACTCCTGTAACTCGAGCCCGAATAAATTCTGTCAAATACGTTCGCCTGGCATGTGAATGACTCCTTTATTGTATGCAGGTAAATTCTGCATGTTTGTGGCATGTTTGAAGATAAGATGAGCACAATTGAACCGCATTGAAGGCATTTAATGCCGTATGGCTTCCATTGCATCTCACCATTATCACCACTTCGGGTGGACCGACGTGACGTAAGGTTAAAAAAAGTATGCTACATTCTTTCCTTTACGGGGAGAGACGTAGATGAAAAATAAGAATGTCTGGAGTTTACTCAATCTAAAAGAGATCGATAAAGATAGTCCGTTCAAGAGTGATCTGTTTATCTAAACGCTCATCTCCCCGTATACCTCTGACAACAAGGGAGTTGTTTTCAATTCCATTGGTTTCTAATAATACCTCAGAGACGGGAAGTCCATTCTAGAAATAGAAAATTCATGTACGTAAATATAGAGCTAAGACAATAATGGATACTCGAGTATTACGCGAACTACAAACGGAACAAATTTGAAAAACCAGGACTTATTTCTCAGAACATAACGAGCCTGTAAAGAATTTCAAGATATTTTTTTCCTTACTTACTTTAAAGGCCGGCTATGATGCAAAAACACTGCTCACTTGTCGAGCTTTTCTTCAACGCCCACCCAGGTTGTTTTTGACAGTGAAATTGGCGGAAAGATAAAAATAGTTGTGGCGCAGAAATGGGGCAGGATGTAAGCTAACATGGCCCGAAATATCTTCATTTATGCCGAGGCATGGCGCTCGCGATCGCGTGATAATCCGGTGGTAGTTGTAGTGTGACCTTCAAGAATGTTCTAGAAGTAGCTGTGTCATGCTGAGTCATCCCTGAATCAATATATAAATAGAATCTATTGCAATGGTACGGAACGTTCTAGATCCTCAACCGCACTTATAAAAGCCGAGTTTGTTACTAGATGTAGCGAGTAGTTTAGTTGCTGGTATAACCCGTCAGATATCAATAAAGGTGTATGCGGCAGAATACAAGACGTCCACACGTCAGTAGTGGCGTGGGATGTACCAGACAACTTTACTGAGTAGCAAAAGTTTAGTCAATCAGATTAGAGATAGCAATAAGTGTGGTTATAAAATGTCGTTTTACAATAGTACCCTCCCTTCATCTCTTGGACATCTGATCCGGCAAACAGATCCCAGAAATCTTTTTCCCACTTCCTCTACATATTCTCAACCATCCAGCGGTTTATCACTTTAATGTTGCTGTTTGGATGAGCGAAATTTGGTTAACAAGTGAACCTTTTGTGAAGGAAAAATACGCCTCAATGTAAAAATAGGTGAATACTTCACCCAATTTTAAGTTTCTAAAATAGCCGGGAACTATCCTCATCAAACACTTAAATCATGAAAAGGCTTATAGTTTAAGGCTATTATCGATAACTATACTAAATATAGCTAGCGTGACGATGGACAAAGGGAAAAACCCGATTCAAAAAAAAACTTGGGCTTTTCATTTGATTGATTACCGCATGAAACCATCCAATTACTTCCCCAAAATAGCTCAGCCTTTCCACATTTAAAAAGTCATTGGTTGTCATAATGGGGCCCCTTCCCCCATAGGAAATTTTCAGAGTAATAAAGCCGGTAGGTAAGTACTCCTTCCGTAACCTTTCGCACGCCACTGGAATAAATGAAATACAGGATATCGTATGACGCTGAAGCAGCACAATTTAAGACCTTTACTTTCGATCTTCGTGCTGTCTTTGCCCGACACTCTCCTTTTTGGATCGATACTGAAAGAGATACGAAATGTTTACCGGAACCGTTTAAAGTAAGTATGAATAGAAAGAGTTACCCCTGAATGAATGAATTTAAAAACAGTTATTGTGTTCAGACGAATACATGGAAAATGTGTCAGATGTTTTTAATTAATTCAGTTGTAGTATATGGTGTCACCGACGGAGTTTTCATTTGGGATTAGTCCCCCAGACGTACATAGTGTTCCAAAATTTCTTCCTAACTGTTTTTACAGCTTCAGTGCCGCTGTACTATTGTTTATGGGCACTGATTTTAGGATCTCTAAAACGAATGCAACAAACAAATTCTATGAACTATTAAGTTCGCGTAAGGGTCATCACAGAGAAATTTAAGTTGTTTTCAAGAAAGACAGGGACCGTGGGCTCTGTATCAAAAGACTGTCGGTATCGCTCGTTTAAAGTGCACAAAATCAACTTAAATGCCTCTAAAATGAGTGAATTTATGTATGTATGTATGACCAACGCACTTCATTCTTCCTGTCAATGACGTTACCATTTTCTTCAGTGAGACTGAACAAAATTTATCCTATATCGTACAAGGCTGGATCGTATTAAGATAGAGGAAATTACTGACTTAAATTCATCCTTGTCCAGTTGAAACAGCCGTAATTCAGCGATCTATTTATAATTTAAAAATGCAGTGTTTTTCTTGGCTCGGATGAGAGGGAAATCTGCTGTAAATAGGAAATATTGACCATCTGCGTGACTGTAGGAAGAAGTCACGAGTAGTCACGCCTGCTGCGAGGAAGGATAAATCTAAGCAAGTTGAGGATTGAAGATGTCGAAGATTCGTATAATCTGAAATTATTGCTTACTGATGAAGGTTGCACTAAACGGTTTGCTTCAAAATGACTTTTCGCCTAGTTTGGCAAAGCGAAAGAATTAGCTCAACCTTCTAATTAAATTTCGAAACAACCTTCTAATTTCAATCCCCGCCTCCACCTCCAAAAAAATAGAAGAAAAGAAAGAAAAGAGAAAAGTAAAAAGGATAATTCTGTTTTTTAAGCCAGCTGTAATTGGTTACAGCATTAAACAAATGTATTTGTTTTTTTTTTCAATAGTCAAAACTCACACGGAGGGAGAGGTGTAATGACACATTCTTTTTTGGGTTGTTCGGACAGCAAATTTATTTCAAAAAACATGTAGAAACATAGCAGAGAGTTTGGAAAAAGAGCAATTGTAAAACACAATTCCCCTAAAAAAGAGGTGATTCTTAAAGAGAGGAGGTCGCTGGAAGATCATGCGTATTAGAAGTAGATTTTGCAACTTCATGATGATAAAAAAATGCTGTCACATAAAAAGAAAACAAACAAACAAAACAAAGCCGTGAACGATTCGACTAAAAACTTTGTTTGGGATCAAAGGAAAACTGCTTTTACTGATATTATGTGATAAATCTTGTCATTACATAGTAATGTTTAACGAAGAAGTCATCCTCACTCACCAAAGTAAACGGTCTTCCTCTAGATCCCAGGCTAATGATTTTTTCGCGTCAGCATTTTTTCAACTTGGTGCATTTGATTTTTCCCCGCAGAAATTCAGTCACGATGGAGTACACTGTAGAACAGTTGAACTTTTTCCGAATTTGTTACATCGTATTTGACTTGATTCCAAAAAGTCTCCGAAGCGTATTCAAATCAGAATGGGATATCCGTTACAAAGGAAGCTTTGGAGAATGGAAAGACACAACACAGAATGGTAGCGATTTTTTCAACAGCGAATCAAAGAAAAGTCGTTCAAGGAATGCGCGATTACTGACAACGATCAAAAATGGTAACACCGCAGAGTGGGACTGTAGCTGTTTGTTTTTTGCCATCCTGTTCTCAGATAGTATTGGGACAACCTTAAGCAGGTTAGTAAGGACAAATGTAAATGATCTTCGTGAATTCAGGAATTACATTGCCCATATTACCGAGGCCAAATTTACAGATGCCGAATTTCACAATAGCATTGGAAGAGTTTTGGTTGATTTCAGCTCCATGGGTCTTCCAATCAGTGATATTGAAGAGGTCAAAAATCAAACGAGCTTTCCTACTTCTGAAGTAAATCGTCTTATGGCTTTACTTAATAACCTTCAAGAAGAATTAAAGAGAGCAAAGTCGAATTTTCATGCCTCAGAAGAACAGGTTCGAAAGCTCACGTTTGATTTACAGCAGGCAGAAGACACCATACTACGAGAACAAGAACAGATCCAATGTCTTTCTGACGAGATAAATTCCAGAGTCGTATCTTTCTGTCACCTACCTTTCAAGCCTTCTCATCAAATAGTCAAACGTACAAATGATGTTTCAAGAATTTTAACCCAAATGCAGAAGCTTGAAGATGGATGCAAAGGCGTGGTTAGTACAGTCTACTTATCAGGCAGTCCTGGTTGTGGGAAAAGTCAAATTGCTCGTCAGATTGGACAAGAATTCTTCAGAACATCATCAGATGAGAGTGACGGTCAAACATTCGTGGCAACCGTGAATGCAGAAACTCTGGAGACTCTTGTGGATTCTTACATCACTCTAGCTAAACAGTTGGGAGTTACAGAGTACACCTTGACTCAGCTTGCAACCTCGAAAGATAGCAGTCCCAAAGAAACAATCCATTATCTTAAAAGTTTAATTTTTCCTAAAATGAGACAATTCTTCAAATGGTTGATTATCGCTGATAACGTGGAGGACCTGTCCACGGTCCGGGGCTATCTCCCCCAGACTGCTAGCGAAGAGTGTGGTCATGGCCAGATTCTAATCACAACTCAAGATACCAGTGCCATTCCAACAAGTGCTCCTCAAACTTACCATGAATCACTAAGCGTGGGAATGCAAAGGGAAGACGCTCTAGAGCTGCTGAAGCAAGTATCTCAAATTTCGAACCATAAGCGGGCGGAGGAGGTTGCTGAAGTTCTTGAATTCCAGCCGCTGGCCTTAGCAGCTGCTGCATTTTACGTTTGTGCCGTTGTTAGACGTGGCTCTCCAAATTACACATGGCATGATTATCTGGAAACATTTTCTCTAGGCGAACGTGAAGGTACTGAAGAACCTCTTGCTAAGGAAAATGGAGCTTACTCGAAAACTATGACCACAGCTGTAAAGGTGGCTTTAAACAATGCTTCGAAAAACGACGAAGTTCTTCGTCAGACATTTTATCTTCTTTCTTTGTGTGCTTCGGAATCCCTCCCAATTGAAGCAGCTGTCAGCTTCGTCAAAGCTCGCACAGCCGCACCCATGAAAGAAACTCATGAAAGACCGACGAAAGAGCTTATAATAGCAAAGATTTTGAAGTCCTCTTTGATCACTTGCTTGCGTGGAGACGATGAAGTTCCAGAGTACTTAAAGATGCACCAAATAGTGCACGAAGTACTCAAAGCAACTCGGATAACTCATCCTGAGACCCGAAAGGCTTTACCAGACGCAATAAGGAGTTTGCACCAGGTCCTCCTCTCAGAGCATGACCAGCTATTCACGAACGGTCATGCATGTGTAAAGCTACGGCGAGTGACGAGTCATTGTAAAGCGCTGCATGACGTTCTCACCACTACGTTTGCAAATAGGGGTGATTTGGTGAAAACATTAGCGTCCTCTGACACGCCAGCCAGTATGGCCGAGTGGCTTTCGAAAACCGCCACTGTCTGTTGTGATCTAAGCAGCCCATCTGACGCGATTCTCTTTTCTACATCTGCTTGTGGATTCATTGAATACATGAGCAACGCCAAGGAAACCGAAAAGTTGAAAGCAGACATTCTAGCCGTTCACGGTAGGGCGCTAACACTGCAGGGCGAGTACAAATTGTCGTTGTTGTTCCTTGAAGAATCCACGAACATTTCTATAGCTGTTTATGGAAAAGAACATGCCACTGTAGCAGGCTGTTACAACAACTTGGGGAACGTCTCTCGAAGCCTTGGTGACTACAGTGAAGCTAAGGTATACTACAAAAAGGCATTGAACATCACCAAGAAGATTTATGGGGAAGAACATCCGAACGTAGAAAAAAGCTATAACAACATGGGGGTTGTCTACAGTGACCTTCGACGGCATCAGAAGGCAAAGAAATACTGCGAAAAGGCAGTGATCATAGCACAGAAGATTTACGGAGAAGAACACGCAGATACAGCTAGAACTTACAATAACTTAGGGATTGTTCACAATGATCTTCAACAATACCTTCGAGCAATGGCTTATCACCAGAAGGCACTGAAAATAAGAAAAAAGATATGCGACGAGGAGCACGCTGACGTTGCAAGAAGCTACCAGAACCTGGCAAATGTTTACCACAAGCTTGGAGAGTACGTTCAAGCTGAACAGTGCCACGAGATGGCGCTTAAGATACGAAGAAAAGTGTACGGCGAAGGGCAGATGAAAGTGGCGACAAGTAAGCATAACTTGAATATAATTTACAGAGACTCTTCACTGCAAAGTAAAGTAAAAAGTAACATTTGCAGTTTGTTGTAGGCAGGTACGTTAAAAAGACCTTGAACTTCACCATTATTGGTGTGGCAAAGACCTTAAAAACTTGAGATTTATTCGCTAATGATGGAGACTGAGCTTATTTTCGTGATGCTAAATGCCAATTTTTACCGCGATGATTGCCGACTAAAAAGGATGTCAAGCCCGAAGACTGTAGATCCAATCAAGATCAGGACTAGCATTGCTGTGCTCTTCATTTCGTGGGTTTCAGGGAGTTAAATATCTACAACACTGAGGGGCGAGTTTCCACGCATCTTCTTTTATTTCAGAGGACGAACGGAAATGACACCAAGCATGTCAAGTACGCTGTCATCGGTCTAGTACAAGACTATCCTTGTCACAAAAAACATTTCCGCACACCGCTAAATTCTTTACCCACTTGAAAGTAGTTTTCATCGACACTAGTTCAAAGGAGAGACTGTAAATAGTTTGTTTTTATTGAAAGAGCAGCAGTCTTTCCAGCACAGTTCATCGAAAGTGAAGGAAACAAACAAACAAAAAAAATCCACGAAACAAAAAAACTAACAAATCAATACAGCACGAACTTTGAGAGGCGAGTTTCCACGCATCTTCCTTTATTTTAGAGAACGAAAGGAAATGACACCAGGCATGTCAAGTACGCTGTCACCGGTCTAGTAAAAGATTATCCTTGTCACAAAAAACATTTTCGCACACCGCTTAATTCTTTACCTACTTAAAAGTAGTTTTCATAGACACTAGTTCAAAGGAGAGACTGTAAATAGTTTATTGCTTTTATTGAAAGAGGAGCCGTCTTACTTCCTAGCATGGTTCATTGAGAGAGTGAAAGATCAGATGTTCAAATGCCAATTTCCACGGTGATTGCTGTCTAAAAAGGATGCAAGCCCGAAGACTGTAGATCCTATCAAGATCAGGACTGGCACTGCTTTGCTTAAAATCTCTTCATTTCCTGGGTTTCAGGGAGTCAAATATCTACAACACTGAGGGGCGAGTTTCCATCCATCTTCCCTTATTTTAGGAGACGAACAGAAATGACACCATCCTTGTCACAAACTATCATTTTCGCACACTTAATTCTTTACCTACTTAAAAGTAATTTTCATAGACACAAGTTCAAAGGAGAGATTGTAAATAGTTTATTGTCTTTATTGAAAGGGCAGCAGTCTTTCTTCCCAGCACAGTTCATCAAGAGAGTGAAGGAAACAAACAAAAAAAACACCAAACAAAAAAACCAACAAATCAATACAGCACGAACTCTGAAGTTCAAATGATTTAGCTCCTGACAATTAAAACCTCAAGACGATATGGTTACAAAAGATTTGAGCATGCATATGTTTATCCTCTGGTATATAAAAGGTACAATTTAAAGTTTAGAGCTGCTGAAATTTACGATAAAGAAAGGTTGAAAGCACATTTGTTGTTTTCACCACGACTTCAAATCTTTCTTATACTTAATTTCAAGCTAGACCCCCCTCCCCTCCCCCTCCCCATTTATTTAAGCATGAGTAGCACAGCTAACCTGTTCGATTTCCAAGTTCATGAAACGATATCGATAAGTACTGTAAACGAAGTGTCATGTAATAAAACTTCTACCAGAAGATTACACCTCCTGAAATTTATAATTCGTAGATTATTCCACATGGAAGGATTCCTCTTTCATGTTCTTCTTCAAAGAGCAAGAGGCTTTCTCATTCTAAACAGCCTGTCAAGCTCTATAGCGTGACTAGCGTGACAGATCACGCAGCTTCTTCGCGACGAGATGCTGCTTTGGGCACAAATATGATCCATTCTACAGGACCACGTAAGTAACATGTGATTACGTCGGATTAATCTCAAAAATAGTTAACAGTAATAGTCAAGGCGGCGCTAAAAGATAAGCGTTGGATGGTTAAGAGTGGAATAAATCAGAGGTCTGAAGGAGAAATTGTTCCTCGATGTTTATGCGTAATAACACGGGGACACCAGTAGATCTGTCAACACCAGCAGCTGATCTTCAGTGAATTTCTGTTTATGTTCTTGCCAGTTGTCGTGATGGGTGCGACGGAAGTCCGACATGACTTTTTTGACAGTGGCCTGAGAGCGAAAAAAGTACGAAACGATCGATAAGTTTTGTTCAAATCACTATGTGGCTTCGATTATACACACTGCGGAGCGAAATAAGTGGTAACAAAAGAAAAATTACCACTCGATACCTAACTTCCAATAGTGGATAGTGATAGATGAAAGTTCTTCTCAGTAGCATTACTTTCACCGACAGGTCTAGGATCCTATCGCACAACTTCAAATACAGCAGACTGAAAGCAAACTCATAAGTTTTAAATTAAATAATGATTTGTACGTAAGTTTCTATTTCTAACCAGCTCCAAATACTGTAATCAAGTTTTCCATTTCTAGCCCCACCTGTATCGGATGTGGGTCATGTAGATGATCACCCAGGTCCAACAGGATTTGCGGCATCCAGGACGGTACATCGTACGGGAAGGCCTGGACACAACTAGCTAGCCCCAACACCCCAGCGTGACGATGGATCAAGGCTAAAGACAAAATCACACAACAGAAAAGGAATTATTTCAAGATTCCTCTACCTACAGACGAACCAAGTAAGGGATGAAAGTGGTCGTAGGAAAGTAATCGTAAGTAGTATTCCACCATGATGCACCGCGATCTCGTTTCATGTTTTCGTCTTTGGAGTTTCAATTGTGCTGCACTTGTCTTATCCTCAGTTTTACGATGTTCATCTACAAAATAAACCTTTCCACGTATTGTTGAGGGAAAAGTTGACGTCTTAACACATTTACACATAGGGTTGAGTCGCGTTGATCAATAAGGAAAAACAGTCGAAACCATCATCGTTGAAAGGAGATGACACAGAAAAACGACCAGGAATATGATAATTTGTTCTTTAACTGTACCTGCGTCATAATTGAGTCCGTTTGCACCAACCACACCTTTCTTCCTTTTCTTCAGCTTAGTGTTCGCCATGTTAGTAAATTGTTTCTGTAATAAATAAATCAGTTTGGTAAATTGGCAAGCTCTCGGTCAGTGGGAGTCAGGGAGACAGAAGGCGAACAAAAAAGGCGAGGTTTGGGTCTACCATTCAAAATCAAAATAAATATTACATAAAGTTATATTAAAAAAGGCAAATGAAGCGAGGCTAAATTATAATGCTGGAATAGTGATCTGGAGATCCCAAATTATCAATAACTTTCATCGAAGCCAAGTCGCCATGACTAGACGATCAGGGTTAAGGTAGCACATATGGGCCAATAATAGATTCTATAGTAGCGTCGTGCAATTGAGTAGTCCTGAAAAAGTCTGTGGTCGATGACAGTGATTGGAGTTTTGACATTATGAATAAAAGTCATCATCAGAGTCAAGTCTTGCAAATATGTAAAGGTTAGCCTTTCAGTTCATTTGAAGGAAGAAAAAGTGTCGTGTAATGCGATGGTCGTAAGACGAGTTCCTCTGTAATTAAGCACTCATAAGCGTTCTTCAAAATCGGGGTCAAATTGACCTCACCTGGAGTTCGTCGTTAAGTTCAAAGAAACCATAATGAACGAGACCGCTGAAAGTTGCTGCTGCCGTCTCACGAACCTGAGAGTGGAAAAATTTCAGTTTAAACAGCACATCACCATCTACACGCCAAACACAAAACGCTTTCTAAGGATTCTCTTTAGGGAACCAATAAGTTTCTCGGTTTTGCTACTGATTACAAAAAGCTGTAGCCGCTCAGAACTGACACTGAACGCGTCAGAATTACACCAGAACTCGCTTACTTCTAGTTGCTCATCCGCTAGGAGACTAAGTACCAGCTCCTTAACATCTGAAACGAACTTCGCGTTACTAGCGATAGCAAAGAGGTTGGCGAAAATCATCACTTGTAGATATTCCAAAATGCTTCGCCTGGGGTGCCACAAGTTATTGCTAGCGATCTGTAAAAGGAAACGAAATACCGTAAGAAACATTCCAACCTTAAAGGACACAATATGAACTGAATAGCGTTAAAATGTTAAAACATTTTAGAACAGATCCAGGGACGAGCAAAGAGCCTCATTTCATCATTTAGAAGCTAATTTCATTGTTTCTCTAATAGAAGTTTGAACCTTCTGTTCACTCGTGTCTTTTAAACTTGAGTTGGGAAAGATCCCTCATGAAAGCCCTCCAAGAAGTTTTTATTTTCATTTCCTCATTACTTTGCTCACTGCCGGTCACAACAGGCAATGCTTTAAAATAGTTATTTTATGTCACGTGGTCACGCGCAGAAACGCGTGGCCCTACCCATAATTCCTGCGTCTTGAAAAACCTTGGATTGTTCTTCAGTACTTTTGAACAGGCGATAAATAAGAAAGAACACTATGAGATCGTTAAAAATTACGAAATTTGTTTTCTCCCTCGTTCTGTGAGAAATGAAAATAATTTTGTAACAGAGACATTGTAAAGTGTAACCTACCTGTTTGACTGTCTGTAACGCCACAGGAATCAAACTAAATGGAAGCTCCATTTGAGATAAGTAGGAAATGGTCTACGGGAAAAAGAGATTCAGACAAATTTAGTGCGGAAAAAAGAAATCAAGAAGCAATATTGACCGAGTCTATTTGAGTCGCTCGCAAAGAGACTGTACACGCACACTGCGACAAGACGTTTCCATCTTTCTTGTTAGCCTTTCCTTGTTTTCTGTTTTGATGCCATACACGTCCTTGTAAATAGGCTCAGAATTTGAAGTTATATCAAAGTTACTACCTTCTTTCTGATACGTTTTCTATTCTCATTCCCTGTCTAATGGATAATGTATCGACAATGTAAGGAGAAGTTACACGTTGACCTCATCTGAGAGTTTCAAGGTAACACTTACCCTGTGACAATAGAGTTGAAGTTCGGGGTCGTCTTCTTGAGAGTCAAAAAGAATGATCTGTTAGAGACAAATGAAAAAAGTACTCAGTTAATTTAAAGCATACACACGAGGGACAAAATCCTTCATTTAACCGTTCACACCCTAACATCAGTGTTTATGTTCTTCACACTGTTGTCTTCTCATTTCTAAAGGTACTGACAAGGGAATTTGTGTGGTACTCATTGGCTTCTTATTTTTGGGATCAAGTCCGTTATTCTCATGATCTTTACATTTGCCTCAAGGGTGTTACTGTAAGAAGAAATTAGAATCCAGTCACTCTAAGAGGTTAAAGGGTTGACTCACCAGACAAATGTCAGTTTATAACTTTTACTTTCTGCCTTTAGTCTTTATTATAGTTTTGTGCAAATGTGCGCACTTCCTTTGAAAGAGAGATATTTTTCTATTTTTCTGATGGATCTTTCAAAAAGGGATGCAAAATTTAGTTCTGCCGTCTTTTCCAGTTTAAAAAGCATTTCCTAAATGCACGTTAGTCAACACTAGCACCCGGCTAACAACATCCTTTTCTTTCAACTTGCAACAAAAATTATTTCAATTGACAACTTGTATGGGAATGTTGTTGATATTAAGATTGCTCACCACAGGAAGAAGGTCGAAGAATTCCTCAGGGCAACTGTTTAATGAGCGAACAGCGTGTGATAAAAGCCAGTTTGTCACTGAAAAAAAAACAATTAAGTAAAAAAAAGAACAAACAAACAAAATGTTACCAGCTAAAGAAAAAACCAGCGAAAACAGGGAAGAGAGAAAGTAATATAACAGTAATAATAATAATTATAATAATAATAGTAAAAATACTACTACTATTACTAATAATAATAAAAAGAAGAGGAAGAAGAAGAAAAAAAGAGGAAGAAGAAGAAAAAAAGAGGAAGAAAAAAGTGGGAGAGGAAATAATAAAAATAAGAAAATACAAAAATACAGAGGAAGTCTACGATCAAAAGTCGTAAGATCTTACTTGTCTTTAGTCGTTTGATGGCTTCCTTTCTCTCATCACTTTCACGTGACCCATCTTTTACTTTCTCTCTTCCAGTCTCCTCCGAGTTCGTTACACTGACATCACTTCCGCTCATGATTTCCTTCTCACGCGCTAATTCTTGTAGTCCCGCCAGTTGCGGAAGTATCTTGCTCACAAA